CGGGATGAGCTTATATCTTCAAAAATTTCAATAGTTCTCAAGATAGAGGGTCAATTCTTAATTATGTTAAATTACATTGTACTTTCTTAACTACTGATGTTTTTGAAGATATAAGCTCATCCCGATGTTACATTCATCAAGAGCTTTCATTTGAGTACCCACATGCATTTTTGTATATTTTTCATATATACATACATATATATATATATAAAATATATGAAAAATTGATGTGGGTACTCAAATAAAAGGTATTGATGAGTGTAACATCGGGATGAGCTTATATCTTTAAAAATGTCAATAGTTCACAAGATACAAGGTCATTTTTTAATTATGTATCTAGAGATGGAGAATTTTCGAATGCAACCTAAATACTTGTCACAATAAATTGATTATCGGTGAGAATGATATACGACCAATATTTTCACTGTAATTCGACAATCAAGATTTATAATAAATGATTCAAATTTTTGCTAATTATAAAAATCTTAATTTTGAAATTGCGGCTTTCTTATTGATCCTAAGAAAAAATTATAAGAGACATTTTTTTTACAAAATTAAATTTTGAACTTTTGTTTTGACATCATTAATCATTATTTTGAAATAAAGCTAAAGATCTCGGCTGTAATTATAATATATAAAAATGGAAAAAAAATTACCTTGCATTAACAACCATAACAAGTGATGAAAACAACATAAAAAAAGGATCTTCCTGCATAAAATAAAGATCCCATATTGTGTGAATAACAGGCAAGGTACATACACCTGCAAAAAGTGTATTAATCCATCCTTTGGTATATTGATCAGGAGAAACGCGTTTTGTGTCGAGGAAAGAACACAACTCTGGATCATGATACAGCAATAGAAGTCGAAGTATAGAGCTGTGTGTGTCACCTCGTGGGACATAGACGTCTCTGATGGCCTCGAATAAATTGTACGTAGCAGAACGAGGTAACTTTAAAGATATCAGTGGTCCCAGTAATTCTAACCACCCATTACCGGTCTCGTATTTTTTACCGCGGCTTTTGCAGTAGAATGTTACTATCGACTCCAAGTCAGATAGCACAGACACTTTGTCGCAGTCATCATTGCCCAACTTATCTGCAAAGCATTAAATTAATTAATTAATATCTAAAATAATTATAATCTACAAGCTAGAATTGAAGGACACTGTAGTTAAATTTTTTTTTTAATTTTATAGCAATGAAAAAAATTTAATAAAAAAAATCGATTTAGGAAAATTAAAGAAAATAATAAATGGATATTTTTTTAAGCATTAATTTTTACTGTAAGTTATTTTTTATAAAAATTAAAAAAATTAACAGTCAGCTGACTTCAGTATTATTAAATGAAAATTAATTTAGCAAATATTTAATAATTTTGGTGAAAATAAATTGTGGCAAAAAAATAAAAAAAAAAAAACATGACGGTAAAATAATAAAAAATTAAAAATGCAATTTTTTTAAAATAATTTTTTTGTTAGAAAAATTAAAAAATAGTCAAGTAACTGAAAACTTTAATTTCATTATTATTAAATAAAAAGTAAATTTACCAACAAGCTGCTGGCAATCTTTTCTGATAAGATTTTGCTCAGGAAGATCAAATATTTCATTAAAATGTATTAACTGGTTCCCTCTGTTTGTGACATCTAGGCATGCTTGCCAAACATCTGGCCTCAAATTAGCAGGAATCGGCTGGCCTTTTGTCATAGCATAAATATCTGATGCTGAGAGTGACTCCGCGTCCAAAAGAGCTGCTTCTAATTCCAATGCCCTGATTTAAACATGATAAAAAAAAAAAACGTCTTAATTAGTGTTCTGATAAAGTATCTTATCATTTATCATTTTAAAAATATTTGTTTGCTTGACTCATAGGTCTGAGTCACTAAATTAGTATTTTTTTTTCAAATTGAAATTCACCTGAATATTTATAATTGAACTTTAAGGAAATAATTTTTATTATAAACAAATAAATACCAAATGACCTGTTATGAAATAAATATTGTGAAATTCATTAGACAAGATTGTACAATATTTGATACTTTAAATAAATATAGAGATTGAAGATTAAGAAATATGCTAGTATGATTGATGCTTTTAATATTTATTTATACTATTAAAAAAACATCTGTTTGGATGGGTAGATATAAATATACATTTATATTTTATTTTTTCATTCATGTGTGCGAATACGTAAACATAATTGATAATAAATTTCAACTTTTATAATAATAACAGTATATTTAAATAATTATCAATTATTATGATGTAATAATTGAATTGAAACATTTTTTCAGACAAAATTTATCAAGTAAAAAATATGACATTAAATTTAGCTGTCACTTAATAATTTTTTTTAACAAAAAAAATTTGTTCTAAAAAATTATTAAAAAAAAAAATTCCATTTTTTATTTTTTTAAATTTCCACATGTCAATTTTTTAAATAATTTATTTGTTATAAAAATTAAAAAAATTATCAAATATCTGCTAAATTAATTTTCATAAAAAATATTAAAATTTTAGTAAATATAAAATAATTAGACAGGAAATAAATTTTTATGATATAAGTGACTATTTATCGTAATATTGGTTAATTAATAATAATTACCAGGTGTTCTCGTCTTCATTTAGAGCCATTTTGGATAAAAATAACTCTGATGGATTATCAAATATTCAGCTTCAATAATAATAAAATTTATTCACAAGTAAATCTTTTAGTTTTTTTTTTTTTTTGTTAAACTAAAATCCGTATGTTTTTAAAACCAAGCAAAGATCTTCGTCGATTGTTATTGGTTTTTTGCATTATGTATATAATGTGTCACATATGAAGAGCACGATAGTCAATGACACAACTCAGACAAAACTGAACTGAAGTTTGTCACAACTCCGCGACTTGAACTTGAATGCAAGTCGATATGATAATCGGGGGTCATCTGAGTGATCCGAACGGAAATGTAACCAATGTAATAATTGTAAAGAAATTCAAAAAGTAACTTGCTCTCTAACAAGTTATATACATTTAATACTTCATACATAACACTTAATGTATGTCAAATAATAGTAAATTCTATATAATAAAATACACACATCTAATTACATATATATAAAAAATTATTGTTTGTTTTATAATATTCATATGACAAGAACGTAATTATTGATAAATGTTGAGACGGTGTATAAATAAATAATAGTTTAAGCTGAAACAAGTTAAAGAACAGTTTGTTTTTAATATTTTATAGAATTAAAAAAAAAAAAAAGTACTTTATAAAGAAAAATCAATAATTTCTCATTAAATAAGCGATTTTTTGTTTTATTTTAGTAATCAATATTTGTATATTTTAATAAATAAAAACAATAAATATTTTCAAGAATAATTATTCTTATTTAGAATAAAAAGGTTGTTTTTGAATTTAGATTATATAATTTAAATTTCCTCCACCACCAGTTACCTAAAAAAATTTATCTTACCGACAACTAATTTCTTACTTATAACTTAGAAGACTTAGAAGACAAATCAATTGTCGTTCTTTTGTAATGTTTCATGGGTTACAGTTTAATTTTTTTCATAAATATGATATTTAAATGTTTTAATGTGTGTATTTTATTATATAGAATTTACTATTATTTGACATATATTAAGTGTTATGTATGAAGTATTAAATGTATATAACTTGTTAGAGAGCAAGTTACTTTTTGAATTCCTTTACAATTATTGCATTGGCTACATTTCCGTTCGGATCACTCAGATGACCCCGATAATCGAGATAATCGATTCAGAACTGAGTTTTGCGTGAAATTTGAATAATACCAAAGTTACCCGATGTTCCTAATTTTTTTATTTTTTTTATTTATTGAATTGTTAAAATGTTAAGAAAAAAAATGAAATTTTGAAATGAGATAAGCCGCAATTTTTATTATGATTTCTTCTTTTGACAAAAAAAAAATATATACGTATATTTTATTTCTCTTGAGAAAAAATATAAAAAATCTATATGCCACATACTCGACCATATTCGACTTCTCAAAAGCTTTTGACTATCTAAATCCAGAAGTGCTACTTGTCACACTATTTGAAATGGGCTTTTCAATTGAATCGATCCATTGGTTCCATTCTTACCTCTCAGGCAGGACTCAGTCGGTAGTCAACAACTTCAATATTCCATCAAAACCGGTCAGTACTACGTCTGGAGTCCCACAAGGATCTATCTTAGGCCCAATTCTATTTCTACTTGCTATCAATGGTGTGACCAAGCGGCTAAGTTATTGTAAGCATGGTCTCTTTGCGGATGATAAGTGGGCTTATCTCCACTTCAAGCTCTCCAGATTAAATGATGCAGGTGCTGAACTCACAGCTGATGCCCAAGCCATAGCGGACTGGGCCAAGGAATATAATCTTGAGATTAATTTTAAAAAGACCAAAGTCATGATCTTGGGCAGTAAACGGAAACTCAAACTGCTTGATGGCTATCAGTTGCCTGAAATCGTTGTGGATGGAAATATCATTCCTTATGTCAATACCACTAAGCATTTGGGTGTCCATTTATCCAGCGACCTTTCATGGGATGCCCATGTGTCCCAGCTTTCTCGTAAGGCCTATATCACGCTGAATAATCTCAAGGACAAGAAAAATGTTCTCTCTGAGTCGTGTCGCAAGCTTCTGGTTACTGCAACTATCCTGCCGATCATTGATTATTGCTCCATAGTCTTTTTAGATTCTTCTAAGAGACTTGACAGTAAATTACAGCGTATTGTTAATCGTGCCATCAGATTCATCTTTAATCTCAAGCGGGATGAGCATATTACCCCCTATATTATCCGCCGCAGATTAAACTGGCTTAGTGTAAAGTCACGAAGGCACTATTCCCTAGCTTGCTTCATTTATAAGCTATTAGAAACTGGTGAACCTAAATTTCTTCGTGGTATGTTCAACTCTGAGGATTCTGACATTAGACGATCTGATCGACTTGCAGCTAAGAAAAACTATGTCTCCTTCAAAATGCCTAACTTCACCACTGTCACCTTTGAGCATTCTTTTATTGTGTCTAGCATTCGTTTATGGCAAGAGCTACCAAGTGATATTGTCAACTCTTATTCCCTCGAGAGTTTCAAGAATAAAGCTTTTGAATTCTTCCTAAACCTTGGATTATCTAATGGTTTATAACAACCCTATTAAATATCTAATCTGGCTTGCTTGAACTTAAACTTAAATCTGAATTTAAATTTTAATTTGTATTTGATTTTACTCATATGTTACTTATTTATTTCATCGTTTTACATTGTACTATAATGTATCTACTTAATTACCTAATTACACTATCTAATTATTACTTATTAACTGTATCCAAACTTTGTACTATTGCCATTCGGCCAAGCCTTGGCATATAAATTTAATAAATAAATAAGCTATGGTTACAGAAGAAAGACTTCTTCTGAAAGAAAGATTTTCTTCTTGAAAAACGAAAATTTATATGATAACTATTACTACTGTTGATTTTAACAAATCGTAATAATATTGAATAATTAAAATATGTCAAAACATTAAAAATATAAACAATAAAGAACTTTTTCATGTAATCTTTATTATTAAAAAAAAACATTTAAATATTCTTGAATTATATTTTATTAATTATAAACATCAATTTATTTTTCCATTTGTTACAATAATGAATAATTACAACAATAAATTTAAAAAAAATGAATTGTGATATTTTTATTATACGTATTTATTTTTTAAATAGATACCATAATATAGAGTAAATAAGTAATTACATTAATACTATTATTTTTTATATTGTTAATTATTAAATGATACACAGCTACTATAAAAAATTATTATTTTGTACACAAAGTTTTTTAGAACGTTTAATAAGAATGTTGACAAGAAAAATACAAATTTTCTAAAATTCATTTGAATATTTAAACATTTTTATTCAAGCAATTATTGCATTTTACAATTACTATATTTTTTTGTGATGAATAATGTACCTATATACCGCAGCAAAACATTGTTGATTAAGCCGATTATTTGTAAAATTCATGCTTTTCGATATTAACAACCCGCATAATTTTCAAATTAGCTTCAGTTAATTTGAATTGATTAGTTAAAAAAAAAAAAAAAATAATAAAATGAAAATCTGCGTAAAAAAAAAATATAAAATAAAAAATCATACAAAATTAATCCTCAGCAATTTCGACCTTAACTTTAATTTCATTTTTTTTATTATTATCTTCAGCTTCTTCTGAATTTTTATCTTTGTTATGTTGAGCTTTTTTGTCAGTATTTTTGAACCTGTCATAACGAGTGTCCTCATCGTCACTCGATTTACCGGGTTCGACTTCCCGTAAAATATCTCCTAAATCTTTGTCAACATCATCCCAGAGTTTATCACCATCATTTTGATAATCATCGTCGTCTTCTTGAGGTTTGTCCTGTTTTGACGGGCTCATGGGAGGATCAGCCTCTGATGAGTTTTGATGTGGTTCGCTCTCTGGACAATTACCGCCACTACCAACACTACTTTCGACGGAAATTTCTGAATTTCCAGACACATTGCTAATGCTGGTAGTTAATGGCTGTGCATTAGTTGTCGAAGCTTTTGCATTCTCCGAAGGGTTCGTTGAATTTGTCACATTATTTGTTGTGGTGGTTGAGGTCTGAAGATGGATTCTTTCTGCTTGACGACGTAATAATTTGTCGTCGTTGTCACGAACATAACTACAAATTTATTGTAATTAAAAAAAATAAACTTATGGCTTAAATTCGTATTTTTATGACTGCGTTAAGACTTACTAAATATTAAGCTTAGATTAATTACCATATCTCTAATTGTTTCGGTATTTTTTTAGAAAAAAAATTTTGACTAGAGAAAAAATGATTTTCTTTATTATAAAAATTTTATAAGGAAAAACAATAAATTTTTTGAGTAAAAAAAAATTCTTGAGCTAAAATAAAATTTTTTGTTTAAAAAAAAAAATTTCTTGGTTCAAGAATTTTTGTCTTGAGTCAAGCTAAATTTTAAATAATTATTAACAAGTGGGGTCCACCGTATTTTTGGCCATATCTAGATGAAAAATTAACATTTTTTTTTTCATTCTGTTTTTTTTTTCGTCTTGAAAAAAAAAAATAAAGATTTCGATAGTTTTTTTGTCTTCAAAAATTGAAAAAAATTTTGGCTCTCATGTTTTTGTATCAAATTTCTATTTTATCTTTTTTTAATATATTTTTTTTTGTGAAAAATACATAAAAAAACAAACAATTAAAAAAAAAAAGTTGAATATCACAATTTTCTAAAAAATTTATAAATTTTTTTGAAAATTTATTAAAATTGTGATAATTAAATTTTTTTTTTTTAATTGTTCATTTTTTTATGTATTTTTCAAAAAAAAAAAAAAATACATCAATAAAATCAAATAAAAATTTCGTTCAAAAAAACGAAAATGGTGGACTCCACTTGTAAATAATTACCAAATTTTATACAAGTGTATTAGTTTCTGATACAAGATCTGCTAAAAAATTTTATTAAGCTTAGTAAATTTCAACGCAGCCAAAATAAATTATGTAATAAAATCAATTATAATAATTAAAATGAAAAATATTATTTTCTGGGTAAGTACCGTTTAAGATGGCTTCTAGTTGAACAATGCAAAGCCAAGGCTCTTTCAGAATTTTCATTACGTGGAAGATATACTTTACAAAGATCGCAAAATTGAACTTGAATAGTTTTAATATATTCAACTCCTACTTTAATAGTTTGTTTTTGCTTAGGTTTTTTTTCAGGCTCCGCTGGACTTTCGGTTTCAATTTTTTCTTTTTTCTTTTTTTCCATTGACTCTTCATCTTCTTCAGCTGTTAATTACAATAAAAAATAATTTAAATGCTTAAACTAATTGCTGAAAAATTTTTATTACTTTACAAATAAAAAGATTAAATAAAAATAAAAAATTAAATGAAAATATTAACCATCAACATCTCCAACAGAGTCAAGTGTCATAAAATTATCAAGATTATGATCTTTGTCATCGTCTTCCATCGCGCTTGAGTCTCCATCGGCCTCCGCATTGCCTGCGGTTTTTTTCTCATCGATAACACTCTTGCGCTGCAAAATAATAAATAAATTTAACTTGTAATAACATTTATCGAAAAATAGTAGAATAAAAAAAAAAAGTATAAATTACCTTGATGTGGTCCAGTGAACAAGTATGAGTTTCAAAGAGCATTGGCGACCGGAATTGCATTCTACAAACTCTACAGAAGGGTGTAAGGAACCTCTTAATCTGACGATGTGACTCAGACGCGTGATGTACGGCCTTCAGTGACCGGTAATTAAGCTTGCAAATTTGACAAAACATCGTCCGCGACGGAAGAGTTCCGCGTGCCGCTTCTCGAGCTTCATGTCGGCGCTGTTCCTGACGTTGTAATACTCGCATGCGAGCTAAGCTGGCCTTATGACGAGCTGCAATTCGTCTCATAGCTGTATTGTGTCTTCCGGAATACAAATGCAGTGAGTAGTCTTTGAATGTAACACTGCGATGAGAACAGTGTGGACAATTAAGTTTGATAAATCTTCTACCACCTTCACGTCTACTGTTTGGTGTGTCGTCAGGTTCTCTACTTTCTTCTTTAACTTTTACGTCTTTTTCTTCATCACCTTCAGTTTCTTCTTCATTCTAAATTTATAAATAAAATTATTTAAAAAAAAAAATTAATTAAAAAATTAAATTATTTAAAAATAAAATTAATTAAAAAATTAAATTATTTAAAAAATAAAATAATATGCAAAGAATTTTTCATCAAACGAAAATACTGTTATTGGATTAAAAAAAAAAAAAAATATGAAACTTACCTCAAGTTTATCATGATCCTCTTCTCTTTTAATTTCACCATCTTTTAATTCTTCATGTTCATCATTTTTACGTTCAGATTTATCTTTCTTACGTTTCTCATCTTTTGATTTATTTTCTTCTTCATTATTGTCTTGTTCATCGTCTGAATGAGGCTCCTTATTGAATAAAAAAAATAATAAATAATATGAATGAAAATTAAGTTATATAGCCGAAAATTAAAAATTTTTACAATTTATTTTATTGAAAAATTATTTTTAAAAAATTAAAATTTCACATATAGAAAATTTAAAAAAATATACGTGCAATTTTTTAAAAATATTTTTTCAGTTCTAATTTAATTAAAAAATCTGCTGATTTCAGTATCATAGAATAATAAATTAATGAAATAAATAAAATAAAAATTTTTTTTACCTTTTCATCAGCACCCCAATTTTCTTCAGCATCTTTGTCTTCATCATCATCGTCCTCATCGGAATAAGCGTCATTAAGAGCCTTGTCGACTCTATCCTTATCCTTTAAACTGGACCCGGTTCCTGACTCCTTTTTACTTCCGGATATCCTAGTACCACTGCGAAGAACGGCAGACCAATTTCGCATTGAAATAAATTATATCCAATATCATCGTATAGTTTATTGTTACTATTTCTTATTTAATAATTTTTTTACTCACTTCTCTTTTCAATCATTGTGCTTAAATAAATACACATACATATATATATATATACACATATATTTGTATATATACTATATAAATATGTACGAAGCATTGAGAAATCATTCTTTTCAATGTAATATAATACCTTCAGCTTCTAATGCTATTATTTCTTTTTCAAGTACTGTTGTGACACATCAATGCAATACACAACAATTATTTTTCATATTTAATTAGGGAGAAATAAATAAATAAATGGAAAATATTCCATGTATATATACATATATATATATTAAATAAGTAATGAATTTTCTTGGGTGTGATATCATCAATTTTAAGTATTTTTTTTTTTTTAAATCATTTCTCAAACCTTTTTTTAAATATAAACATCATCATCATCATTTGTCAGTTTTATAATTTTATAATTCTATAAATAAATTTTATAAAAATTTTTTTTTCCCCTCTATAATTGATCCACTTGCTTAGCAATTAAAATGCATAAGCAAGTGTCTTGTTCAATTAAAACATACTCATATATTGTTTTGTTTGTTCTAAAATTTTATAAATGATTTGCTAATTATAAATTACCTCCTGCGTATTTTAGATGAAGCCAATCGTACCCGTTGAATGTACTCGCGTGAGCGCGAACTCAGTAGCTTACGACGGTATTCAAGAGCTGAGGTGAGAGCACGTTTACGACTCAAGATTAAATCTGAACGTGAGCTCCCAGCTCGAAAAGTACCGCCTCTTGAACGTGTTGAGATACCACGTCCGCGGTAGTTACTACTTTGACGTGACAAACGTCCACCGCCACGATTAGAACTGTTGTAACGCTGTGATGGTGGTGCCATGTCGCTAATACGTGGAGGCGGTGGTGCTGCATAATTTCTCGATGTCGAAGAATGACGTTCGTCTGAACGATGATAAGAGGATCCACGTTCACTCTGCCTCTTATCCTCATAAGCAGCTGCTGATGATGATGATCTCTTATTCTCGTTATAAGCCGTTGAGCTTGATGAACTCCCGTAAGATGGGTTGTACCTCTGCGAGCTGCTGCTTTCACCCTGCCAAATTTAAATTCAATTTTCTGCCATCTACCATCTTTTTTTTTTTTTTTATTTATTTATTTATTTAGAAACTTTTCTCTCAATTTTTCTTATCCACCATCTCTCGATGATGCTCTTTTCTTTTTCTATTTATCAAATATTTTTTTTAATCCATTTTCAATGATCTCTTACGCTTCAGCAACCCGGTTTCAGTCTCTACCTTTAATCAATACCTTCGTTGGATTTTTTTTTTTTTTCAATAAAATTAAGGTTTTTTTTGCTTAACGCAGTGTAAACCTTAATTATTTATTTAGTTATATTTTTTACACTTATCTTATAGTTTTAACTCATGCAGGACTCCCTTTACTTTATAAACTAATTTATTTATTAAAGAGACGGATTAAATCCGGAAGAAAATTAAAACTGAAGATTCAGTACGGTGTTTTTTTTTTTTGTTTTTTTTTTTTAATTTGTAGAAGACTAGAAATTGGTAGAGGCATAAACGATAGAAAGATGTTTAGTGCTTATAATTATGCACTATTTAAAACATACATTGTGTCACGCGTACTAACATTATACATAGCTCATAGTCTCTTCCTAGATGAAAACAATCAAATTTTCATTAAATCCAACTCAACTGTTTTGGCATCGGTTCATCCAACGAAATCAGCTCATTCATATCTGACTAAACAGTCATTTTATTTTTTATATTTATTATATTCATCATATTATTTGTATCAGTCTGATAGCTGTTCCACAGCTAAAAGTACGTGCGTTCAAGCGGCCGTCGGCGCATAGCTTGAAAGGAAAGTACGAAAAATATTGAGTCCCTGAGTTATAAACTATACTAATTTATGAATTCTCGATACGTTGATTATTGATGAATTTATTTACTTTTATTTACTATATTTAAATTTTTTTAATTAATATTAATGTATGTATACTCCCATTCGCCTCTGGCGTTAAATAAATTTATTAAGTTTTTTAAAAAAAAATAACTACGACTTACTGTTTTGAGGTGAATGGGTTTGCATTAGTGACCAATTTAAATCAAAATATTTTATATTATAAAGAAAAACAATTACCAAAGACAAGAGCATTTCGATCTATTTTTTCTTCTTCACTATTTTATATTAATTTTATTATTTAATGTTTTTAATAGTTCAAGTACATACCTGATAAGAATCATTCCTCACACGTTTACGATCACTTGATGATCTGTGATCATCCCGATTTGAATATGACTCTTGCTATAAAAATTATTTAACATATTTTTTATATTCAAATAAAATTATAGTGAAAAAATTTTATAGTAAAAGTAAAATATTTTATAGTCTTCTTTACCATAAAATTTTTAGTTAAAAAAACTATTACAATTGACTTTATCGGTGTCCTAGTTAACAAACTTGAGAAAATTCAATTGTTTGAAGTAAGTTTAAACTTCAACTCATTCATACTTATATCAATAACTATACTTTACATATTATTGATTCACCTACTTCGTACTTATATCATAAATTTTTTTCACTAATAAATAATACAGTTTAAATTGTAACATACCCGTGGGCGTTTGTAATTATTTGAGTGATCACCTCTGCCTCCTCTACTAGAATACCGATCAGAAGATCCACCTAGAAAAAATGAAAATTTTTAAAACTTAAATATAACTAGCAACCTTGCAGTCACTGTGTGACTGCTGTGACTTGTGAACTATAAATAAAAAAATTTTGCTTTATTGAATAATGACTTTTGTTAAATTACATTGTACTATCTTAATTATTGACGTTTTTAAAGATATAAGCTGATCCCGATGTTACACTCATGAAGAGCATTCATTTGAGTACCCACATGCATTTTGACATATTTTTCATATATACATATATATATATATATATATAAATATATGAAAAATTGATGTGAGTACTCAAATGAAAGGTCGCGATGAATGTAAGATCGGGATGAGCTTATATCTTCAAAAATGTCAATAGTTCACAAGATACAAGGTCATTTCTTAATTAATGATATTTTTAAAGATATAAGCTCATCTTGATGTTACACTCATCGAGACCTTTCATTTGAGTACCCACATGGCATTTTTTATATATTTTATATATATATGATATTTGTGAAATATATAAATATATAAAATATATGAAAAATTGATGTGGGTACTCAAATGAAAGGTCTCGGTGAGTGTAACATCGGGGTGAGCTTATATCTTCAAAAATGTCAATAGTTCACAAGATACAAGGTCATTTCTTAATTATGTATCTAGAAATAGAATATTTTCGAATACAGCCTAAATACTTATCATCATAAATTGACTATTGGTGAGAATGATATGAAACCTCGAAAAGGCACAAATTCAAATTAAGACTTTTGTAATGATACTAAATTTCACAAAAAGAAAACCGATTTTATCATATGACTATCCTGGCCACAAAATTATTCTCTTAATAATATAAAGAATGAAAATCAATTTATCAAAAGAATTATTTTAAAAAAAATAAATAAAAAATGTTATTTGTAGAAAACTTGAAAAATTTCAAGTGCAATTTTAAAAAAATATCTTTTTGCTCCAATTTAATAAATGAAAAAAATTTAATAACGTGAGCTAACTTTAATATTCTTAGTATTATAATATATGATGCTAATATTAGCCGACGATCAAAAAAATGTCATTAAAAAAAAAAAAAATTATAAAAATTTTCAGATGTTGGCTAATTTATTTTTCATACTATAATTAATATAGAGAAAAAAAAACCTACTAGAGTTATATTTACTGCGCGAATCATAACTTTGGGAAGAGTATTTATTAAATCTGCCACCACGTGATGAACCATAGCCTCCTCGGCTCATGTTGCTACCGTTGCTGCTGGTCTCCCAATTACTTCCACCACGTCCTCGGTAAGAACTACTTCCACCTCCTCCTCGAGAACTGAATCCTCTTCCCCTGGAACTCATACTACAAAAAGAATAATTAAATTAGTATTTACTTACACCAGCTGTCAATATTTTTTCATAAATCAAACATAAATTTTTATTTATTTTTTTGTTTGTTTATAAATTGTTACAACAAACCTGTATTTGTTGTATGCATGACTCATAGTTACAGTCAGTGATACAGGTATTGACTTGGTTGATGATTTAAGTGTCTAAGAAAAACAATTATTTTTACTTTTAATAATTAATGATTCTGAAAATAGCTGAAGCGAACAATTATGGTGATTGTTTTTGCAAATAAAAAACTATTTTCATAATATTAAATTATTATTTTAATGTATTTATTTACTCGAAAAATATAATTTAATTTTGGACCGTCAAATAGCAACAAAATCAATATTTATGAATAATTATAAAGTAATTTTTTTTTTTATATTGTTAGAAAAAATAAAACACTTATTGCTAAAAAAAAAAAAAAAAAAAAAATATTAATTAATATTATTATTATTACAAAAATCAATCGAACGTACGCTTAGTTTTTGCAAAGCGTGATGAAGCGCAATGTGATGATACAAACAATTAAAAATAATTATTATGAAAAATATTTACCTTGAGATAATGTTTTATTTTAAGTAAAATAAAATAGATATTTTTAATCACTTAATTTAGTCACTGTGAAATTTTTTAAACTTCAAATGGCAAGTACAAAAATTATTATTCGGCAATGACCGAAAGAAAATGTCGGAGTTGTAGCGTCTCTAACCAGCAAGGCCAACTACAACGCCACCTGCTGCATTCTAGATTTAAATATAGAAACGACGAATGCGAACTGCTACTTCCGGTTCATATATTTGCAGACACGTTGTTTAGTTGTTTGAAAATAATTATGTGAGTACTTATAAAAAATATTTTGAAAATTGCACTTTCAGTTTTTCGAGTTTTTTGCAAATGAAAATTTTTTTTAATTATTTTGTAATTGTTTTTTTAATAAAAAAAAATTCTAAAAATTTTTACATGTCGGCTAACTTAATTTTCATTTTTAGATGTGGAATTTTTTAAAAATTTTTCATGAAAATTAATGTAGCACATATTTAATAATTATGAAAATTCTATTAGCCGATACCTGAAAATTTTTATAGTTTTTTTTTATTGAAAAAATTGTTACAAAAAAATAAAAAAAAAAAATTCACTTGTCAAAAACTTCAAAAACTATATAGTGCAATTTTTAAAAAATATTTTTTAATTCTAATTTGATAAGAGAAAAAAAATTAAAAAATTAAAAACGTCAGCTAACTTTAGTTATGGCAAAAAAAATTGACTTACAAATTGAAAAAAATAAAAAATGTAATTTTTTTTAAATAATTTTTTGGAATAAATCTTTTTGTTAAATAAAATTAAAAAATTGTCAAGTGACAGCTAACTTATTAATGTAATAAATTTTTTCATAATAATTTCTTATAAAAATATAAGAAATTGACAGATCATCTTCAATAATAAAAAAAAAAAAATTAAATTATGTCAATTTTACACAAAAAAAATTAAATATTTTTTAAAATAAGTTATAAATAAATATTACGTAATATTATTAAAATAAAAATTTTTGATCATTGAATTTAGAATTTTATTGCAATTATCAATAAATATTTCATAGAATATTTTTAATATATTTATTATTATTATTTTTCTTTTTAGTAATAATGATATTACAATAAAAGCAGTGTAGGATGCGAAATATACGAAATAAAAATATAATTGATATACAAAAAGATACAAACCTAAACGACAAATACTTAATACTCATTTATTAATTCTATGTACAATTAATATTGAATTTATAGATTATTTTTAATCATCATTTATTTTATTCCTCACACACAATTTCGCATCCGATTATTGTATTTTTTATCCGACGATTATCTACACGAATTACTAAATAATTTTAAGAATAAATTACTAAGAATTGCAATAACAATATATGATTTATTTTTTTTTACGAATATTATTTAATAGTAATAAGAATAATAATAATAGTTAAAATAATTATATCTGTAACATAATTATCCAAAGCATTGAACGCTCATGTAACAATAAAATAATCATAATTATAATTTATCTGCAGAAGTAAATTACGTACAAGAATATTATTATTTTTTTTGACAATTGCGCTGAAGAACTTTATTTTTTTTTTCAATTATACCAAAGCTATTTTACCAATAGCAAGTATCCAATCCTGTTTATTAAATTATACTATTTACAGTAGAAAAAAAAAAAAAACAATAAATTTAAAATAATTAACAAAAACTGGATAATCATAATTTTAATAATTATTTGTATGATTAATCTTATTTCTGTTTTAATAATGATTTTATATTAACGGCATAGATATTAAATAAATATCAGTAGGTAGTACACCATCCAACAGTTGATGAGCAAATTTAATGCGATAATTATTTTGATTATAAAATAATAAAGAAAAAAAAATTTCCAAACTATTATTTTACCAAATAAAAATAACTATTTAATTTAAGAAAAAATTAACTATTTAAAAATTTTAATTTTTTTTTTTTAATGGAATTTTTTTTTCTCTCAAGTCTTTTTTTTTTATTTATTTTTAAAAACACATCATTAATCATCGAGACTGTACTCGGATGATGATTGAAGGGTTTCTTGTTGGTCTCCACGGATTTTATTGGGCCCGCAATTGATTATTACTGACAAAGCAAGATCCTTGATACGATTGTAAGGTCTGTCGTCGTCTAATAATTTTTTAAGTTTATCTATTCCTCCTTCTGATTCCACCAAAGAACAATACTTGGTAGCTAGAATTAAAAATTAAAGTTAGTATAAAAAAATAAATTATCTTTATTATCATAAAAATAAACAACATTTTGTGACCAGTGTATTTATAAGTAGTCAATTTATGATAATAAGTATTCAGGCTGCATTTGAGGATGCTCTATCTCTAATAGATACATAATTAAGAAATAACCTCGTATCTTGTGAACTATTTACATTTTTAAAGATATAAGCTCATCCCGATACTACACTCATCAAGACCTTTCATTTGAGTACCCACATCAATTTTTCATATATTTATATATATTATATATATGTATATATGAAAAATATATGAAAATGCATGTGGGTACTCAAATGAAAGCTCTTGATGAGTGTAACATCAAAATGAGCTTACATCTTTAAAAATGTCAATAATTAAAAAAGTACAGTGCAATTTAACAAAAGACATTATTTAATTCAACAAAATTTCATTTATTTATAGTTCACAAGTCACGGTAGTTACATAGTGACTTCAAGGTTGCTAGTTAAATAATAATTTGATACTCACGATAAACTTGAGTTAAATTAGCAAGAGCCCATACTGCCCAATGTTGGCACTGTGGTGTGTGATAAACATCTAATAAACGTAGCAACGGTAAAAATGATCTATAATTAATATTGCGCTGAGACGATAAATTCCAACGTTCAATAGCTTCGACCATACGTTCGAGAACTTCATTTCTTGTGGGTTGATCTATTGTCCATGCCTCTACACCATCAGACGCCATGTGAGCTAGGATTCCGGTTGCATTATATGAAACCTAAATTTATCATTAAAATTACATTAAATTTTTTCTAGTTAAAAAAAAAATGTATAATTAAAAATTATACTATAATTAAAATTATTTTAATTACCTCGATCCCATCACGATCGTACTCTAATAAATTAGAAAAGACTGATACGTATTGCTGTTGCATTAAATGGGGGCGAAGGTAATCAACTTCAGCAACATTGCCTAATAAACCCATCATGTTTCGTAGTAATTCTTCTTTAGATGGATACTTCTATAACAAATATAGAGTGTTATATAAAATATTTTCCTAAAAATTTTGTGACCATACCATTCAAAAAAGATTGAATTATTTTATTTTGTACATTGAATTAATTAAATGAGAAAAATTTTTATCTAATATTTAATTGAAGTCAGTTAAGGCTTTAATTGTAAAACATTTTTGTTTATAAAAAAAATTTTTTCGACTCTTTGTTTTAGATTTTTATACTGGAAGATTCGTAAGATTTTTTACAATTTTCAAATTAAGTTTGACAATTTTTTCCCACAAAATTTTGTACACAAAAAAAAATTTACTTGTATCAAGTAAATAATTTTGAAGAATTTTATATTTTTGATTGGAGTAGAAAAATTCTTATTAACTAAGAAATTTTACTTAATTCGACAATTTTTCGTCTTGACTCAAGACAAAAAACTCTTCAAAATTATTTTCTTGGTTCAAGAATTTTTCTCTTGATTCAAGTCAATTTTTTTTGTTCAGTGTACTATAAGAAGTAAACTAATTCATGTTATATGTCTTGTAATAATTTAAAATAAAATAATAAATTTAACTAGACTCATTTAATAAAGTACTTAGCCTTGAATTTGACCGAAAGCACAATTGAATTTCAATAAAATTGCCAAGTTTATATTGCACTTAGAGTCATAAAATATTTACATAAAATTTAATGTAAATATTTAAAATACAAACCTCAACACATTTTAAAAAGAGTCTCATTCCCTGCTCATCCAAAAATCTCTGGCAATTAATCGGCGTCTCGTCAGTCATATTCCACATAGTAGACCAAGCGACCTCGAGAACGTCATCATGTAATTCACACTCAACTCTGTACCGAACCAATTCAAGCATTGTCTCAACGCATCCTAAGTTTCCTAATAAACGTTTTTTCTTTCCTTCTACCTGGCATGCCAGTGAGTTTAATAAATAAATTCCAATTCGTTGTACAAAACCTTCAGACTCCGCGTGTCTTGTAGAATGTAATAAAACTTTAACAAGCGTTTCGTAATTCCACATCTAAAAAATATTTCATTTATTTACTTATGACCCTTATTACTAATAATAAAATTATTAGCGATTTTAAACGTCTATATTTTGTTAAATAAGATAAGAATGATTGAATAATAATAATAATAATAATAATAATAATAATAATAATCGTCAGAGCAAAATTTTTTTGGCTCATAACTTACAACATCTTGTGGTATACGAAACTGGCAAAGGGCCAAACAGCCGTTGCGCATCATTGTCTCTTCATCTTTGTGAGCATTCATACCAGCAAGAAGCGCACCTATTATTCTTCTCTTCATTTTTGAGACAAGTACACTCTTTTCCTTTGTTTTTACGATATAAAACAATGTTGCGCTGTAAAAAAAATAATTAAATAATTTTCAAAAATTTTTAATATAATTTAATAAAATATATCAATAAATAATTTTTCTAGTTTTTCTCATTTTTCTCTAATTAATTTTTTTTAATTTATGTTATTTAGCTTTATATATTTTTAAACGCAGACATATCTCCGACTGCACTATCTTCTTCAAACTATTACAGGCTTAATTGAGGTTCCGGATCTACTAAACAGCTTCGGGTTCATTGAAAAGAATCTTAAGCCTTAGGCATAATCGACTACTAAAATCAACGAAATCTAATAAAAACTATGTCATAGATAGTCTAAGAAATAGAAAATCAGCTCTTATTAATAGATATCACACTATAAATTTTTTCGATGGTTCGTATAAAGCATTCTTAGCTAAATTGAAAGAAATCCTGTGATTTTTAATGCTGCAATACTTTTTCTTAGGTATATTAGTTTCTCTTTTATTATAATTTTTGTTTAAATAAATTTCTTTCAAATTTTTTGTATTATTAATATGTACAAAGCCGATTGGCGTTTAGGTTTATAGTGTAATGGTTACGTGCGTTAATATCCCCGAACAAAAATTCTTAAAAATATAAAAATTCATCAATAATAATTTGAAAATTAATCTTAACATTATTTTTTTAGTGTGTTTGGGATATTTTGTCCGAGGATATTAACGCGTGTCACCAATTTTTTTTTCAAATCAATTATTATTAATTTTTGTAAGAAAGATACGGGAATGTTATAATGATTGCACATTGAAAGTTACAATGAATATTAGCTAGAATAATAATATGGATAAAAGGTGCATGCCAATTCGATAGAATTGAGAATCTGTACACGTCAAAACAATACTCTAATTAAATTTCAAGTCTAGATCTAAAAATTTAATTCTATAAAGCGCCTAGCGGAGCGGGCGAGTAATAGCTAGTAAATAAATAAATAAATATATTTTTTTATGTATATTGCCGATAGGCGTAAGTTAATAAATAAATAAATAAATAAATAAATAATTTATCGTACCTTCCCGATATTTGTATATGACGTTCATTAAGATGTTTCTCCATAGCTTCAAGAACGATATAAAGCGCCTGATCCATACGTTCGCAACTTTCATATCTGAATACATGATACAAATCATTTAAAACTTTTTGCAATAAATCCTGTTTGTTGTCCATGCATACACGAGCTGCTATGAGTATTTGTTCATCGTTAGCATTTCCAGCAATCTGTAATATAATTTGTAAATACATAGGCTTAGTAAAATATAAATTAATTTTTTTTTTTTTATAATTAGCAGACTTACGATTTTAGCAGGTATGTCATATCTTCTACACGCTTCCCCGTGAGTACCATAAAGACCTAAAAATTGTAATGGATTGTTCACACGACAAGCTAGACCTTGAATATCACACATTGCGTAGACTTTTGTAGAGTTGGATATCAATGGACGTTCGGCTACTCCACGTCCAGCTAAATTTGTACCGCCAATATCCAGTGACGTTAAATTAGGTAAACCTTCAACTAAGTCTGATAAAACTTGATTAGGTTTGTGAAAGAATGCATTTTTGTGGTTAGCGTGGGATATATCGAGATGCCTAAAATAAATAAAATAATTAATTATTTTGTAGATTGATACACCCATAAGTAATTATGTTATGCAGTAGTTTTTTTTTTTTGTAAAGTTGTAAAAATAAAAAAAAAATTGAACTTAAACATTATTAAGACATTTAATTAATTTTTAAAATTTTACGACAAATAAATTATAGCAATTAAAAAATTATAAAAAAAAATCTATGTGTAAAAATTGTAAAAAAATTATAAGTGCATTTTTTTAAAAATAATTTTTTAGAATTGATTTATTTTTTAAATAAAGCAAAATGTCTGATAATTTTAGTGTAATTTACATACTCAATAATTATTGGATATAAATTAAAAAAAAAATAATAAATTATTTTTACTACCTTAATTTTTTTAATTGTATAACATTGGCAACAAAAGCACTTGGATTTTCATTAACTTTGACATTATAAAGACACAATGATACTAAATTTGGAGTTGATGATACAAATTCAAAGTTACCAATATTGACGGCATTTGATAAATCTAAATGAGTCAAATTAGATAAACCAGATAATAATATAACATAATGCTCAGGAGCTATTTGAACGTGTTCCAATGCCAGATGCTTTAAATTCGGTGCATTAAATAGATATCCGCGCTTACAATAATTTATTGGCGATGGATCTATAACTGCAACACAATAAATAATTTTAATAAATTATCAATTTAAAAAAAATATAAAAAATAAAATAAAATTACTCACCACCTGTAAGATCAGTTGGGTAGATTTGTGGACAAGAACGAAATGATAAACTCTGTAAATGTTTTGAATTATTATTTATAAATTCAATAGACGATTTAGTAAGATCACAACAATCATTGAATGACAAGTGCAATAATTGATGATTAGCAAGAACAGCAACAGATGTGTCCAAGATATTGCTGTGGTTTATTTTAACATTTTTTAATCTTGTTGCAATAGTATCAGCAAATATATTGATAAATCCATCATCAATACTTGCTGTGCTGTCACACTTTTGAGCAAATTCAATGATTTTATCACAAATTTCACTTGGTAGTACAAGTCCACGTATTAATGTACGATAACCACGTTTATCAACAGTTGAAATAATATCTAAATTGTTACATATTGTTTTAAAACATAATTCAGCTAAACTTTCAGGTCCTACATATTGTTTAGAATTAAATATACTCTCAAAATGCGCCATATTAACTTATTATTTTTTTTAATATTATTATTGTAAATAAATAACAATAAATATTGTTATTATTATTTATTTATACGGGCACTTACACTTTATTTACTGTTTAAAAATAAAATCTGAATTTAAAAATGTTTTTCAATTAACACAACTTTACACAACTGTCAAATGTGTCAAACGCATCAGCTGTGAAGGTTCTATCATCATTATTATAATTTAAAAAAAACCCATACTAGAATGGATTACACTTATGATAACATAATCTAATAGTTAACAACTTTATTTTATTTAATTATTCCTTTTAAATAATTATCAGTACTCGAGTCTTCTGTCAATGTCTCAGATCCATTTTGTCAATGAACCGCCAGTCCATTTTTCAATTCTTAAAATTATCATCTATTTATTTTTATAATTAATCCATATATATATACCAGTATATATATATATATTTATTTAATTATTATGACGTACTGAATGGACTTTTTTGTGTTATTCTTGTCAAATAAAATAGAGTTTTTATGTGTGAGACTGTTTTCTATTCACAAATTCCTGAGTATACATCACTAAATGCTTGTGAAACACACATACGCAATTTTTATTGGGATAAATTACACTTATTAAATCACTATGTTGATTATCGTAGTTGCTCAATTTTAAGAGAAAATTTTCTATCCAAATATTTATTTATTTTTTAATTAACTTAACACACGTTTATCTATATGGTTAGATTTAATTAATTTTATTTTACGTTTAATTAACGATTTAATTTTATAGATGATTGTTTTTTATGGATCAAGTTAACGTTAGAATCTGTGACGTCACTTAATGACTCACAGATTAGATGGAATAACACTAATGACTTGAGTTTATATACAGGCTGTTATAATATTCTGATAATTTGAGTATCTTTAAGAAAATCAATATGGTGTGATTTATTTTTTTTATTGTTTACAAGATTATTTGTTTATTATTTAGATGAAAATTTTATAGATTTTTGTGCGTCAAGAGATTTTTCTAGAAATCACAAGTAACTTTCTTGGACTTGTGCGCATGCGCTCAATTTTAATGGCGCTTAAATTCAAAATTTATTTTATAATTGTTACTCTTGATCAATTAATATTTTAATTTGAAAATATATTTATCCCAATGATTTTTTTATGATAATAAACTTAGCAGCTATTTAATAATTTTTAGAATTTTTTTTAACAAATAAATTATGACCAAACAAAATATAAAAAATATTGACATGTAGAAACTTTAAAAATGCAATTTTTTTTAAATAATTTTTTGGAACAAATTTTTTTGTTAAAAAAAATTAAAAAGTTCTCTAATGACTGCTAACTTTATGTCATATTTTTTTTAGATAAATATATTTAAAATATTTCTGTGACATTAAATTTATCAGTCTTAATCATTTTTTAATTTTTTAAAATAAATAAAGTTGTTTTAAAAAATTGAATTTTTTTGAAATGTCTACAAGTCAATTTTTTTTGCAATAATTTATTTGTTAAAAAAAATATTAAATATCTCCTAATTTTCACAATATTTTTTTATAAATTTTTAAAAATAATTTGATAATTTATTTTTCTTGAAAAATAGCTTTTAGAAATTTATTTAAAAAAAAATTGCATTTATAATTTTTTTATAGCTTCAAAAAATAGAATTTTTTAAATAAATTTTTTATGTTATAATAAATTTTTTAAAAAAATTATCAAATGTCTGAATTTAAATTTCATAATTTTTGATATTTTAATGAAATAATTTTTTTTATTACATAAATATAAACTTTATAATTTATCCTTAAGATAATAAATCTAATTAAATATAAAAATCAACAAATTACAATATTTTATTTTTCATAAAATTTAAAATACTTACACGTTATAAAAAAAAAAAAATTAATTATAAAAATTAAATTACTCATGTAATTTTATTTTCGTCCTTTAAATGAATTTGCGAGGTGTGCGTTAATGAAGTAAGTACTTTTAATGGCGGATGAACAGCATAACACTGAAACCATTTATCATATCTATCTCTAAGTGTTTTCTCACTCCAATGAAGTATACGTGGATGGCAAAATATTTCTTCAAATAAATATCCTTTGCTGTGTAAAAAATTCAATACTTTACTTAAATTTTTAACATTAATTTTTAATAAACTAGGATCACGCTTGATAAGACCCTCAGCTAGATCTCGATCACAGTTGAAGTATGAACTTATATAATTTTCCAATTTTCCGTGTGGATTTAATAAATTCATTTTGTTAATTTTTTTTTCTTCAATACTATGAAAAAATAAAAAATATAATCATTAAAATAATAAACAGTATTAAATATCGGCAACGTACTTGTCCAATGATTCAGGTGGACAACGTATGATCCAAGGTTTCAAAGATTTAATTCCGACCTCTTTGGCTCTATCTATTCGTTCTTTTATTTTTTCTAAACTAAATTTATAAATATGTAAATCATTCTTTATATTTTCTCCTGGCATTCCTTCAGCTGTAAAAAAATAAAAACCATTAGATAGCTAAAAATAAAAAAAAAATTTTTTTAATAATAAACTCAATAATTACCAATTAAAAGTTCAGTGACATTTTTAATTCTTTTCATCCGAATTGGCAGCATAAATTGATTTTTCACCAAAATTGAACACATTTCTTCTAAACTACACTACAAAAAAAAAAAAATAATTATCATGACACTGAAATTAGCAGACACTCGACAAGTTTTTTATTTATTTAAAAAAAAATTAAGTGTAAAAAAATTCTGCTACAGAAGTTAGCCGAGATTAAAAATTTTTTTTTATTTCTTTTTAATCATTTCAGTGCTAAAAATATTTTTAAACATTGCTCGTGTAACTTTTCATTTTTTTACAGATGAAATTTTTTTTTTTGTTCTAATTTTTTCAATAAAAAAATTAAAAACGCCAGCTTACTTATTATTAATTTTTATAAAAAAATTGCATTTATAATTTCTTAAAATTTCTAAAAATGTAATTTTTTTTTGTTATAATTAATTTATTAAATAAATTATCAAATGTCTTTCAATTTCAGTATAATTATCTATCAATAAAAAATAAACATACTCCAAAATTACTAGCCAAATATTCAACCCTGTTATTAAAATCCGGAACGACAGTTCTGTCATTTTCAGTATTAATTTTCATTTTTTTTAATTTATCCACCGTCAATTGCAACAATGGAATGGCTGCATTTATTTCCAGCTTCATATCATTGATATAATTTATTTTAGTCATCAAGTTTTTGGTGGTACTTGCTAAAGCGTACATATGCACTCTCAACGTCGACTTGTCAACGTCAGCATCACGAAGAACACAGTAATTCTTGAGTATTGTCACCCTGGATAATTTTTCAAAAGATTTGTACTTACTGACAACGCTCAGAGCATTGTCTCTCGTGACATCAAGAGTTTTCACCAATGCCAATGCAGCTTTAGCATGGGATATACTAATTTCAGGGATTTCTTGCTTATTTTCAGCATTTGCCTTCTTGGTACCAGCTGATATTTTTCCAGGTAATTCTGAATTGGTTTTTTTAATTAAATCCGGCTTACGTGAACAGCTGACATTTGTTGTATTATAGTGTTTTATGAATCTACAAATGCCGGTTTTAAGGTTATTTTTTAGCAAAGTACTCACCAGAGACCAAGCGACACTTTGGGTCATTATTTTTATTTAATCCTGTCAAAAAATAAGTTAAGTATGTTAGTTAATATTTTAGCAAATAAAGTATGAGTAATTAGTGTTTTTAATACACTTATAATAATAATAATAATAATAATAATAATAATCAGTACATACTTGTTTTTGCAGATTTAAAACACGGAAATTAATTTAACAGATATTTAATAATTTTTTTAACAAATTTATTATGACAAAAAAAAATTGACAAGTAGAAATTTTGAAAAATTAAAAATACAATTTTTTTAAAAATAATATTTTGAAACAAATTTGTTTGTTAAAATTAAAAAAAATGGTCCGTAAACTTCAATGTCATTTTTAAAATGTAGAAGGTAGAGACATCTGACGAAGTTATCAATAATTTATCACACTACTTACTGTAGTAATATTTCTTACAAGTATTATTATATATATATAGGTAGTTTTCCAACTACAGCACTAGAGCGCATAATGCGGCATTGTGCGCAGCTTAGAGTGTTCCAATAACAGCAACGCTTCGCACAGTTGGACACTCAAAAAACCTTTGCTCACAGGGATGTTATGCGTGAGAATTACCAACGAGTCTACTGTGATGCACCCAGTGCATCCAACAGGTGACGCTACCTGTTATTAGAGCGCTATCTATTATGAGAGCGCGAATTCAAACGAAATATTCAAACTAGTAAATATTAAATGATTAAAATTAGTTAAATTTTATATTCGAAGTAAATATTCCAGTCCTTTATTTAATGCTTTTACTCTTACCAGTTGTAAAATAAACATCTTTTGGTTAACTCTGTTTTATTTACAAAAGAAAAAAAAATAAAATAAAAAAAAAACATATTTCGGTACAAAGGTACATTGTAACCGAATTTTCAAAACCCATAAAAAGTACTTGAGTAATTCAAGGACTCTCGCCAGATGAAACTTAAAACCCTATGAGGAAAAGTCGTAAAAGACACGTGTGAAATCAATAGACCCTTGTTCTAAAGTAACAAAGAATAATAAAAAAAAAACATATGTAACTAAACAAAAATAATATTGTTAAATAACATTTACTGTTAAAATCTAACTTTATATAATATTGTAGTTAAGCAAAATTGAGTTAAAATAATTAATAATTAGTATCTTATATTTAATTTATAACTAATAATTATTAGTTAACTAATTTACTATTAAATCATTATCTAATTATTATTTAATTTATAATTAAATAATAATATCTATTCTTTTATACAGGATAATAATTAAACTGACTTATAATTTTATTAGAAAACTCGAATGTAAAATGATAGAAATAATATTTAATCCAAATTATTAATTATTCAAACTCAAACATTAGTCCAACATATTATAAATAATATAATATATATAGTTTCATGTTATAGTTTATTATAATTTTATTGTAACTTAATTTCAAGTTAATTATAAGTTAATTTTATTATAAATAGATTTTAAAAAGGGTTTGTTAAATTAATAAGAATAGTTGAATAAACATAATGACTGTATTGCTAAAAGTATATATAAGTGAAGTCCAACTTTCAGGCCGATAGGCTGAAGTAAATATATATAGATATAGAGAAAATACATGTTAGTGTATAAGGATCATTATACATTATTCCTTAGAGTGGATGTATGTGTGGAAGTTATGGTGGGAGAAGAACGGAGTTTGAAGATCTTCGGAAAAACTATGTAACGACACTTCTCATCGAGAGATTAGATTGCTAAGATCACGTCATTGTAAACCTCAATTTTATATTTTCAAGCTTTTAATATCTTGTCAACTTGAATAATAAATTAAAAAGAACTAAATAATTTTGATCAAAATTAAATAACGTCTAAATAGAATTCTTTTATTTAAAATTATTCCTTTCCCGCACTGAAACCGAGTATTTTAATACTCCCGGGCGAAAGAACTACAGTAAGTAAAGTTTTAAATAAATAAAAATAACATCCACTAGATGGAAGCATAACACTACATAAAATTAAAAGTATTTTTTTTTGTATTGAGTTGGTATAATTAATGTTTATCTTATTATCTATCAAAGTTATTATTTTTGACAATTGTAAGTGTATTTTATTATTGTTGATAAATAATTATTATTGCAATAAAATTAAATATATACAATAACACAAATTATATTTAACTATCATATTTTTATATCTAATATTTAATATTATTGATGACTAACTTAAGCGAATTTATATTCTTTCTATTCTTTTATCTTTATAAAATGAAATCATTTTTTAGATTTTTATATTTGTAAGCATTGTCATGATATGATTTTGAATTAGCTGTTTAACATGAATGTTTTCAAAGATTTTAAAGATTTAAATATACAGGTAAACAAATATTTAGATTTTTAGATTGCCAAACTTTCGAATTTTTGTTCAAAACGAAGCAATACCAACCCGATCTACTGCTGCATTTCTTAACTAATCTGTTTCAATTAAACTTGTGCTAATGCGTCACCGTGCGGCAATGAGTCGCATTGTGCTCTCGTAATTGGAAAACTACCTATATTTATATAACTTGAATAATAATACTCTAATAGTCACGCTTTGTTAAAAAGTAGTTAGATTTCAGCCGTTATTGTTAACTTAATATCAAGTTTGCGGTAATTCTTTACAGTACAACAGTTGTAAGCAAATTGACGAAAATTTACGTCTGCAATTTGATTACAAGTTGACACCAAACTTTTGTTTATAAATTTCCTTTCAACTTTACTACAATTTGCCTAAAATAATACTTGCACTGCAAATCTTGACGTCCAATTGCAGAGTAACTTTTAAACTACTACTAAAACTGTTTGGTTTGCAAACTCTTTTCATCAAGTTGGCTACAAATTTCAGCAGTAGAGATTGAATAAAAAATTGAGTTAAGGTGACTATATCAAGGTACTTACTGTATTTATTTTATTATTTCTCTCTTATACACACTGACGGACTACAGAAAATTTGATAACTAAACTAATAAATAACCATAAGTTTGAGTAGATATTCAACTTATTCAAGAAAGATCCTACACAACGTCAGAGGCTTTTCACCTTGAGTGTAGTTAATAGGGAATTGATAAAAGTGAAAAGAGTGATTCAGAGAGAATTAATAGATTTATCTATTATTTATAAGAGAGATGACTACTGAAGTTGATTTAAGAAAAGAGGCAGTTGCCATGATTGCATGGGAATGAGGCAGGTAAAGATTTGCCACCTGGTCACACCAAGTTTAATCCAGAAAATAAAAAACAGGTCATCATCAAAATGAAGAAGCTACAAGAGGTCATGCAGTCCTTTGTGGAAATTTTTCGGACTTTTTTCAGAAAAAAACTTCTAAAGACTTTTAAAGACTTTTTCAGAGTTTTCGAGGTTTTTTGAGAAAAAAGTCCGAAAAATTTTCATAAGGGGTGCCCAGACTTTGACCCTAGAATCATGTTTAAGATACTGCTATTGAAATATCAGTCTTTCAAAGCACAAAAAGGTGAGGGAGACCAGACTGAAATCGAATGCCTAGTCTCCAAGGATGGAAAAGATAAATGGAACACGTATGGTCCTTTTGTTGATGACATGTACTTCTTGATATCCATTTTCTTATTAGGAGGATTAACAGTGGAGAAGATAATATCCAAATCCACAGATGCAATGAAGAACATACATAAGCACATGGTCGAAAAGTACAACATCTTCCTAATAAGACAAGCTAGCAAGCGAAATGCATTAACATCACTCGATCCTAAGATTGTCACAATACCAAGAATCTGTGCAACATTCCCCACTATCATTGTGAGTATCTTCAATGACTTGGAGGTAAGATACCTATTAGTGTCACCATCAACAGTCTTTGAACCAGAGTTAGTTGACCCAATTCCTAAAACTTTCTGGTCCCCTATGATAGAATCAGTATTCCCAAAGGATTTGGTTCCTCTGAAGGCTTTGTATGCTATGGCTTTAGCAACTGACAATGTACTGTACAAGAAGACTGCTAAAAGAACACCAGTCATGAAGCTTGTAGATCATCTTCTAGCCTCTTGCAAATCTACTGCTGTCATTGAAAAGACCAGATTGGCAAAATGCTTAGAGTGGAAAATTGTTGAGGAGAAAGGAACGACATCAGTTCTAATTGAACCCATCACGATTTTGAACAACAGTGTAGATGCTGATCTACTCAAAAAGATTAGACCTGGAATAACTGATGATCAGTGGGTCGAGGTGCTTGATGCTTGTGCAAGCTAAAGTCACTGTGGCCACTTCTCCTATGCAGTGAAGAGGTGACTGAAGGCTGTCGTCGCTAATTGCAATGTTCTAAAAATAAAGTCGGTTTTTTTATTTTATATAAATTATTGAATTTTTTTATGAATACGGATGTATAACTTTGAACGTGAAACCTATTTTTTAATAAAAAAAAATTATAAAAATTTTTAGATGTCGGCTAACTTTATTTTCATCCATATCAATATCAAATTAGCTAGCACTTTTTTATATTATTTATTGTAAATATTCTGACATTAAATTTAGCTGTCACATTACAATTTTTTGATTTTTTTTAACAAACAAATTTGTTTTTGAAAAATTGCATTTTTAATTTTTAAAAATTTCTACATGTTAATTTTTTTTGCCACAATATATTTGTTAGAAAAATTATCAAATATCTGTAAAACTAATTTTCATAAAATATTGCAAAAATTAAATATTTTTGTTTTATAATAAATAAATCAATTTTTTGTCTTCAACTGTCTTCAAATCAATAAAATAAAGAATGTGAAAAAAATATATATAAACTCAGCTAAAATAACAGGTATTCTGGTTTTTGTTTTACTATAGACATAACAATTGAAAAAAAAAATTTGCGCTAACTTTTTTCCGGTAAGTAAAGCTTATTCTGTCAAACAAAAAATTGCTGTTCCATTTTTAACCCAGTAATTATTCAATAAATCACTTTGCAGTTTTATATTCATTATGTAGTTTGCTAAATTATCATCACAGCCGAGCAAACTGCGTTCGACAGTGGATTTATAAATTGGACAGTCGTACTTGGTAAAACCATCCAAATTTATCATTTCTTCATTTTTAATTTGTGGTTTCAACTTCACAATTTTTATACAATCTAATAGTTGTTTCGGATTACTTTCAGCCAATTTCTTATTATCAAAATCCCAGCGGCCTCCTGATAAATACAAGTCCCTTAGGTACAAACTTTCGTTACAAGTTGAAAAAATTTCAGATAAAATTTCCACATCAAAATCTATTAGATCAAAAGAAACTTTCAACTTCCTAGCAAATATTAATCGCACCGCAGAAATATATCTTCTCGGATAATTAAACGCGCCAAGCCAAGTCACATTAAAATCTCCTTCCGTAAATTTTTTTAGAAACTCGCGTCTTTTGTTGAGATTTTTTATAAATCGCGGCAATGACTTTTTACAATTTTCAGGAGTATTCAAATAAATCCACGTACAAGGAACCGTGTAATTCCTCAAGTCTTTACAACAATCATTTTTCAAGAGCGAAATTTTGATGCGTTCAATTATTTTATTAAAAATCATAACTTCATCTATCAAAATCGCGTTCAAGGGATCCTCGCATTTCTTCTCCGCTTTAAAATCGATTTCTTCTGGAATTTTTTTTCTAATTCTTTCAATGACATCTTCCTCTACTTGTTCATCATCAATCCGTTCACTTAATTGTAAAATATTGTCAAAAAACTCACAGACAATCAAAGAATCTCTCTTTATTTCTGCATTAACATCCACTCCAAAAACCTCTGAGGGCGTGTAATAACACAACTTATCAATGTGTTTAACAAAATCACCATACTCGCACCGATTTGGAACAATGTAATCTTCAAAAAATGAGTAATTACTCAAATTTACTACATTATCATTGCAAAAATCATCAAATACCGTGATGAGGTATCGCTTATCAACAGAATCAATAATTTTACCCCCGTAGTTACAGTTGCAGATCACGTACTTCAGCGCTTCAAAAGGCACACTATTATTGGTGTTCAAAAAAGCTTGCAACTGTCTAATCGAAATCGCCAGGTCGTAATGATTAAAGTCGTAATTTAGGTTCCAACTTTGCAGACCAAAGTAATTACGTTCTCTAATGACAGCGTGAAAGAACGAAAACGAGTAGATCAATTTAGCAAATGCTTTGTCTTTGCCAGGACAACCATTGAAGAAATCTGTGTTCAACGGATCAGAATTGTAAGAATCAGTGAGAGCTTGTTTCAAGTTCACTGGAGCATCGTATGTAATCTTTACAGCGTCTTGAAGAATTTCTATTGGAAATCGCTGAGTCGAATTGCTTGACATCCACAATCTGAACTCTAAATCAGTATTGCTGGTGTCTAAATCAGCTCGTATTTTCTCAAGCTTCGGCATCCAGTCGAGAGCTAGATGGCAATTCTGCAAAAAAATCCACCCTCCATTCTTTTGAGCTTCCAATATTTGTTTCTCGACCTGGTTTAGGGTATCTTGATCCGCGCCTAAAGATACTGTGGTTAGTTTTGAAGAGTATCCGTGCTTAGTTCCAAATTCTTTGATCAGCTTCGACGGTTCCAAGTAAGTTGGCAGGATGAATATCAGCGGAATTAAATAATTCGACTGTGAGTATGACTCCAACAAATTTATCGACGGTTGTGCTGCTAAAAGTCCTTTCCCTACTTCAGAAATGAACTGCGATATTTTAATCACAGTTTTGTCTGGCCGTAGGATTTTTAGAATAATCAATTTTTGGAACTGTGAACACTTATTTTCCCATGGAGCAGGCAGGAAATTATTTTCGGGATTTCTTGAATCATAAAAAGTCTTCCAAGATGACTGATTTTCTTGAATATCTATTGGAAGAGTTTTAAAGAGCTCAAAAGTGGTTGATAGCTTTACTATTTCTTCCCACGAATTGTTCGGCAGCCAAGAAAATTTATTTTCCTGATCCAAATCAGGCTCCACAATTTTAGTCATAAAAAACTGTAGTTCTTCTCTAGAGACTTGGTGGTTATCTTCTAGAATCTTTAAACAAAGTAAAAAAGAATAAATTAGTCTATGTTTTTGAAAAAGCGCGCTTACAACGCTAGAATGAAGAGTTTTGGTAAAAGAAGCTTTTAAATACTCAATTCTTTTTTCAAGAACAAAGCTTCTGTTTGAACTGGCAATTGACTTGATGAACAATTGCGTGAACCAATTGAGAGAAAATCGGTACATGCAGTTTAAATTCGGAAAAATTGACAGCGTGTTGTACAACGTCGCGCAATAGTAAGTGAATTTATAATAATTCGTCCTAAAAATATCTATTTCATTTTTAGCAGCCAAAACAGTTTCTTCATTCTCGCGAATTTGAACAGACAAGTTTTTGGAAGCGTCTAAAATTTTTATTGCCGCTTCGTCTTCAATGATGTTCACGCTAGAAGTTGAAAGAGTTCTTAGAATGTTTTCTTCTTCTTCCTTGAGGACTTTTTTGTTAGAAGCACTTTGGATCAATAAAAGATTGAACTTTTCCTGAAGCTCGGGCCGTTCTCGGGAAATTACTATGTCCAAAAGACGGTCCTGAAGGGCATCATCGGGCAGCAAAAAGTTTATCACAGTAGTCTTGCGGAAGACATAGGGATCAAAGTTAGGATTGTGAAGCCTGGTTGTTAAGTACAGTCGGAAATTCAGATTGTATACAATGGTTTCATTGTTAATTTCTTGGTGCAGTTGCTCATCAATTTTGTAAATTTTCTCCGACAAAATGCACTCTAGGTAAGCGATGAAATCCTCTTCGATGTTTTCCAAAAGTACTGGCTGGCCCAATTGGATACTTTTCTGAACTTCGACCAGAAATTCAGTGTTAACTAATTTTAGAACCTTGAGATTGTTCTTCTTCTCCATTTTTCTGATCCAGGAATTGGCTTGGTTCTGCGGATCGATGAACAAACAAGACCGTAAAGAATTTTTAGATATAACTGCGTTTTCTATAGAGAAGCGATTTTTCGGCAGTTTGTAAAAATTCCAAGTGTTAACCGTAATTTCAGACTCCGCGACTCCAATAAAGTCAAATTCTGGTGAACAAGAAATTTTCAAGCTCTCAATATAACTTTTCCATCCACAAACAGTATCATCTCGATAAGCAGGATTATAAGGAGCAAGATAAGCAATGATCCCACACGACAAAAGCAAATCACCTGGCAAATTATCATAAGCCATCTTGAGACGATCAGCAGTGGCCATCCATTTGCTTTTCTCACCTCCCAAACTTCGAATTAAAGCTTCAGCCTTTTCAAGTTTCTGTTCGCAAATTTCAACCTCCTTTTCTAGCTCCAATTTCTTCGCCAAAGTGTCCTGAAGACTTTCATTCAACGCCGTCAGTTTGTCATTCAAAGCTGCCAAAGTTTTTCGTTTCTTCTTCAAAAATTCCAACGCTTCATTGCATTCCTTTTCAGCAGTTGCAAGCTTCTCTTTTTTAGGCGCTACTACTTTCGCAACTTCATCATAAGACACCATCGCGCGTACCCACTTGCAAAGACCCTCAGCAGCGCTAGAAGCTTTCGCGACAATATGAGGCATGAAGCTTTTATCAGTCATGTAAGTCTTTTTCACAACCTGCATCAAGGAAGGAGGTATGTTATCTTTGTCATAGTCCTTCAAATTCTGTAAGAAATTCATATCACCTAGAACTCGCTTGCTGGGTCCCCAAAAATCCATCGACTTTCTTCCAGTTATAGGATCAATCACCCGTTCAGCCGGGACTCCTAGCATCACACAAACGGCAGCCATCACGAGTTTCACAGTATCTGGAGGATTCTTCATAGCCTTCACCAAAGTTATGTCCGTCGGTTTCAAAGTATTCAACGCGGCAATGGCATCTTCTAGAATAGGAATAGCTACCGCTAAATCAGCTTCACACTCGGATTTCAATGAAGCAGCTATTTTAGCAGCCTTATTGGCTATTTCTTCGTCTCTCTTAACTTGAATGGTTGCATTCTCAACACTTATATTTTCAGTTTCTATTTCCAGCATCGTTTCTTCGGTCTGACGCGCTGACCATTCCAATTGTGGCCTAAGAACAGTCAGATTGGCTTTCATCTGAGTGACTTCCTGAGCCGCCAATTGGAGCTTCTTCAAGCCTCCCAAGTATCGTTCCTTTGACTCTTTCAGTTCTCGTTGTTTTTCAGCCATCAGCTTCGCATAGAGCTTCATCATATGGATAAATCCCGACGGACTTACATGAGTTATTCTACCCAATTCATCGCGGTATTTGATGCTAATCTTCTTTGATTCATCGTACAAGTACTTGCTCGCAGTGATTATTTTTTCCTTGACACTTCCGTCGATTTTCAAGTCCTCGATAAATGCGTGTCCCAATTGGACGAACGCATCTTGAGGCCAGGGCATGAAACAATCTACAAAGCAGCAGTTCAACAAGTTAGGAAAAGATTTCAATTGCTGTCGTAAATTTTGATCAGTTATGCTGTAATACAAAGTAAAGTGCAATTTTTCGCGGCATTGATTGAAAAAGTAGTCCATTACTTCCGTAGTCGCTATTTCGAGATTCCGGTCGCCTTTTTGGGCAGGTAACCGAGCGATTTCGATGATACTCTGCCTTTCTTCGGCGGAAATCAAGCCTGGAATCTCTCCAGTGGTCATCAAGCTGCTGATGTCTTCTAGATACTTGTCCTGGACGAATCTGCCGACTACAAAGTACGTGGAATCTCTTCCACAACCTCCACAACTTTTTAAAACTTTCTTGAGATCATCCCGCCATTTTTCTAAACTGTAATAAGGATTAACAGTTAGTTCGCTGAAACTCTGCTTCTCCATAAAAGCTGCCAATTGGGTCAAAGATTTCCTTCCGGAACCTCCGGTGCAAAGCATCAATAAGTGTCCTCCAGGGGTAGCCAGAACTCGACAAACTCTCACTAAATGCTCCAAGACATCTGAAAGAATCGAAAGATCCAATTTTTTATCGAACTTTTGATTGAATTCATTCAGATAGACTACTATCTTGTTCTTCAATGCGTCTTTTGATGTGATTTCTTCATAGCGTCTGATTGAAGGCTCCTTGTCCGCGTCCATAAAATTGGCAAATATCAGACTCTTGAAGCTCTTTCGGGTCAGTTTGTCATTTTGTTTGGGCAAGTGGTCAAAAACTGACTCGAAAGTGTCTTTGAAGTTAGCTTTGACTGCTTCCTTGATCTTGACAAAGAGCCAGTCGCTGTTTTCTTCACCAGTAATACGATCCCCGAATATCCGAAGAGACTCGTGAACCCACAACCTGATCAAAGTTATCTTTGTCTCCGCAGACTCTTTGTGAATTAGACTGCATCCGCTGACTACTTTTGCGATATCCCGTAGATTGAATTGACACACTGGATCATTTGGAGTAAATTTGCGTTCTATCAAATTATTATAGACGTATATAGTAGCATTGATCATACTATTGACGCTTCCAATAACGTCTGATGAAAATTGATTATTTTTTAAATTGTACAGCAAGGTGTTTGTGAATATGCGAAAAATACTATCTTTGTTTGGAGAACGCATTGTGTACAGATTGAAGTGCTTTAAAAATCTTGAGCACAATTTTTGACGCTCATTTCTGAGAGTTAGACCACAAAGAAACATTACTTTACTTACAAACACCTTTTCAGGCTTTTGCAAACTGTACCAATACCCGTGATCAATGTACTGTCTTATCAAATCCAGCAATGCATGTCCCAAGTGATTTTCTCCAACGACAACATCCAAATCGTCGACAAAATTAATACTAAGTTTATTTATCGGCGGTGCGTATTGCCCTTCTTTTATTTTGTTCATCTTCAGAAGAAATAATTTTTGTGCAGATTGGGCAGTTATTGTTGAAGGGAAATTGAAGGCATTTGTTAGATATTCTTTGTTGGGTAGTTTGTTTTTCAGCAATATCTTAATGCAGGATGTTTTTCCAATCGACTGGCTTCCATTTACAATGAACGGAATCCGATGTTTGATATGATTGATAAACATACTGATATATTTGACTATATCTACCGTTGGAACAACTGTGAATCCAAAGCCACAGGTTTCAATGTTGCTATTTTCAGTTTTTAAAATATCCGCCCAAGTTTTCCAGAGTCCAGTGCCCTTGAATATATAGGTGTTGTCCTGAATCATCCCTTCGGAAGGCAACGAGATTTCGAACTGCCTTATTAGATCTGGACGAGGATGCAATTCGTTAGTCCACATAGACACGCAGAATTCGTTGAAAGCTGCTTGGGAGTCTTCAGACAAGCAGCTTCCGATGGTCCAAACCAAGGCGAGGATCAAAGCAACTTGAGACCAGATTCCAAAATGGTCTTTTTCTCTATCTTCTGAGGAATCTAAGGCGTCTTTGAGGTACATACCCATTAATTTCAACGCTGATATCACAATGTGACTTCTACTGATATTGATGATCAATTTACAAGATTGGAACGCGAAGTCTAGAAAAGCATCCAGCGACCAGTTGAATAAGATTCTCAAAAAAGAGCTGTGGTTGCTGGAGAAGTTTTGGCGTAAGAGCCAGGAATTCGCGTACGGCTTCCAGCCAACTGACTGAGGCTCCACGTAAATTATTCCACAGCGCGATAAAATCCCCGGAGAAGCTTGTTCCAGGGTATCAGTTTCAAAAATCACAGAAGTAACTCTAGTTAGTTGGATTGTTTCTCCGGAAGGTAGCAGAAGCTTTTTGTTGTCGTCTAAAAGAGTGTTCAAATTCTCCATCCACGCGGAATTGACTGGACCGTCGAATATCAGCCATTTTCGCACTAAATCTTTGTCTTTTGTGTAATCTCGGAGAAGTGATGTACTGATTCCATCATTCCACTTCATAGTTTTGGGATCAAAAGCTCCGAAAAGGCTCTCTAGAGTCATAGAGTTCTGGTTTATTGAATTGATAATCACGTCAGCTCCAATTTCGTGGTTTTGGCTTTTCAAAATCGACAGAGACTTGGCCAAAGAGTGAAGAATTGTGGTTTTACCACCGAGAGACTCACCAACAACTATGAAAGCGTGTCTCATGTACATCATTTCTAAAAGCTGGATCACTTTGAGCTGGAACACTTCGTGAACTTGAAGACTTTCTTCTAAAGCGACTTGATCCAGAGCTTTGAGCAAAGGCCCGTAGTTTGGAGGCGGTAATCCATCTGGAAATATATCTTGAAGAAATCCTTGGAAGATTGGGATATCTTTTTCCAACAGCATTGGTAGAACGATGTCTATCAGCGACCTTAGAATCAAAAAATCTTCGTTTTCTTCAGGAAACTCAAATTTCAAGCCTATCGCTGTCTTTACAATCGTGTTAATTAATCTGTATCTAAAGTCGTAGCATCTTCCAGGAGACAATTGATCCGTGCAGAGAGTTAGAATCCGCTCTAATTTGGTAACTAGACTCTTCCCATCGTTGAATCCTGCTGCGAATAAGTTTACTTCACATATTTTGTTGATATCCAATCGATTGAAGGTTACAGTTCTGAAGATAACTTTGAAATTGTCCGGCAAGTTGTGTGACGATAAACACTGTCCAGGATTCATGGTGACTATCAAGAATCCTGCTCTCAAAGGCAATGAAGTTCCTTCAAAAGAAACAGTTTCTGCTCCAGAAGATATAAGCTGAGATATTGAATACATCTGCTGGATTACAGGGGATAAAATAGACAATTCTGTGAAGTTAATGTCTTTAAAACACACCCATGCTCCACATGCAAGCATTCCTTTGAATATTTTTGAAAACCTAGAGTAAGTAAGCTCTCTCGTGCAGTTTATCAAGTAAAATTGGGTCCCCAGAGCACGAGCCAATCTCTTTATTGTCTGGATTTTTCCAGTAGCTGCTGGACCAACTAGTGCTCCAAAAAAGTGGTGATGGTCTGCTTCGAAAATGGTGCGGTAGCATCTGTCAGTAAGCGGAGTGTTGACAATCGATGGACTTTCAGAGCTGAAAAATTCGTATCCGTATTGTTTTGAAGCATTTACCATTTTTACTTGGATATTTTCTACCCAGTAGAATCTCATCTGTACAATCCAGTAGAAATCACTTTCTCGAATCACTTTTGTGTCAATCAATTGCTTGATAACTTCTTTTTGATGACAGAAAACTGTGATAAGTGACATCAGAATGAATCTTTGCTTCCTTTGCGCTAGAGTCTTCAAACTAGTGATGGTATTTATGATCACATCTTTCTGTTCTTCAAAAACTTTGTTTAATTTTGAGGAAGAAAAGTCGATAAAGCAATCCTGAACTCTAGAAGTCCAGAATAATTGCGCGAGACATTCAGTAATTATTAAAGGAGAAGTGAATTTAGTTAGAGTCATCATATCAATCGGAAATAAATTTTTTACTATTTCTTCACGTACTGAGTTTGTTGTTTGTGACTCAATAGACTGTAACCAGTTTTTAGAATTTTTAACACAAGAAATTTTGTCCTTTAAAGTTAGTTCTTCTCCGTGATCGCTAAAAATGGATGTAATTTCCTTGCTTCTGTTCAATCGGACGTCTTTCACCCCCTGGAAACATTTTTGCAGCAATAATTTTATTCTTTCAACGCCGCTCTTATTGAAGAGTATCTCCGCAATTTCATTGTTAGACAGAAAGAAAAATCTCGGAAAAATCAACCTCTTACTGTCCAAATACGTACAAATCGCTTTATTAACAATTTCGACTTTCTCTTCCGCTTTTGTCAATGCTTCATAGTATTTCGTAGATTTTCCTAAATTTCTAAAAGAAGGATCTCTCAAAATATTGCATTTTATCGTATCAAGCGTCTCGCAAACTTCAGTATACAAATCAGCCTTCAGAAGTTCGCTATCCTGCTTACTAACAAAAACAGGCGAAAGGAAGAAACATTCTTCCTGAAGTTCATTCCATTTTTCTATAATAGCTCGGACTTGAGTCAACGCGTGGTAAAAATTGACAACAGCTTCCATAATTGGTTTCACAAAATAAGATCCCTTCATCTCCTGGATCGTTACCAAGTGGTCCTCGAGCAGAATTTGAATTTCCTGATAGTTGACAAAAATCAATCTATTCTTCGCATCACTCTCAATTACAAAACTGATGCAATCCCATTCACTGGACATTTTTTCCAACTGTTTCTGCAAAGCCAGCTCTTTATTTGCACTGATACTAATGACCTCATACTTATCAATATCCTTCATCAAATCCAGCGCTATAATCTTCCTCAAAGTAGTTCCAGCATTCGGGGTAAAGTCTTCGCCGTAAATAGAAGACATTTCTGTCCAGTGTCTTCGAGCTAAAGCAGGATTGCACATACAATTAACCAAAGGAACGTACTGCTTGAAGTCTTTTACGTGCTCCAGTGCTTGGAAACACAATTTAAGCGGCGCTGGTTGCTGCATCGGATCAGGGTCGTCAATTACTCCCGAAAATCTGAAAGGTTTATTGGAAGTCATGTCCTGTTTGATTTTTGTTTTCATCGACCTGTTTAATTCCGTGAATTGTTCTAAGTAGTAAAATGTTATCTTGCCAACCTCTTCTGCATTTACATACTCCAAAGGTCCATCCATCCACACGGAATTGTGTCGCCTCCACTGGTGGATCATCTGGATCAACGAATAAAATGGCAGAATGATATCCTTAACTTCTTCAACTTTTGGAAAAGCCGTTTCTGGAAACTTGAATAGTTTTTCTTCATTATTTATCGCCAGAATTTTTTCATCAATATTCTTTATTTTCCTCACTAGAACATCCAAGTACTCGATGTACTCATGAACTCTTTTAGCGTTGTCCATATCATCCAGAATAATAAAGTCAGGAAGAATATTGTCGACTTCAACATTCAGGGTGTTTATCTTCTTTTGCAGTTCATCTTCTAACTCGCTTTTCATCGCTTCGCAAAGAGTGTTACTCTGGTTGAAAATAGCTTCTATCAGAGACAACCAATTGATAGTTCTCTTGTTCAGCTCGATATGCTCTTCGCTCAAACTAGTAATCTGCAAAAGAGCACTTAGCATTTTAACAGATTCGCAGATTTTTTCTTCCAATTTTTCCACAGTAACTTTAGCCGCAATTCCCATATTTTCACTCAATTCAAACAATGCCTTTGTATTGTTAGGTACATCCAAGGCGTTTTTTTCAAGGATTTCAAACTCTTTGCAAATTAACGAGTTAAATTTCCAATGATAGGACACCAGTTTGTTCACCAAAATTCCATTAATCTCCATAATTATCTCCTTCAAAGTTTCTTTGGCTTTAAGCTGACTAAGCCGTCCTATTTCATAGTGAATATACGAATTCATCGCATTGGCTTTCAGCAAGTACTCATTGAAAATTTTAACTTTGTCGCAATAAAATTCAAAGTCATTGTCTTCCGAAACTAATTCTATGATCATCGCTTTTGTTTTTCGCGAACAGATGAAACTGAACTCATTATTAACTCTGCCAAAGAATTCATTTAATGGTTTGAAAATTTCAATTATTACAGCGTCTAGTTCTTCATGAGACTTTTTGATGAACCATTTGGGAACTTTGACATCAATAAAATCTTGCTCGGGATCAAAATTAACTCCGCATTTAAACGGAAGCAAATTTCGCGCGATATTTTTTATGTCAGTTATAATTTGATGATAAATTCGTCCGATTTCTTCAATCGATGGATCTATCAGCAAACGTCCGTCTTGGCAGATGAGCTCAAAATTTATTTGAGGACAATGACGAGTGTCTTTAATTGTTTTGATTATATGTTCAATAGTTTGCATCATAGTATACAAAACTTGTTGAACAAATAGATTAGTAATGCATCGCATAAATTGAGGAACTTTTTTAATTGAAATACTCTTTAATGTTCTTTGATTAGAAACCGATCTCATTATTTCATTGTAATACTCGTGTCTTATTTTTGAAGTTCCATTTCTGATGCTCTTTGTCACTAAATCGCTAAAATCGGCAATTTGTAATAATCCGAGGCTGCGATAATCCGCTAAATTAACAATTATCGGCAACAATGTTGATCGAGCTGTTGAAATAACATATTTCATTAGATTGTGAGATAAAAAATAAATTTTCATAAGAGACTCTCGATTTTTCCTGAACAGTACTTGCCTTCGTTCATCAGCGTTTTGATAATCATTAATTTCTAATGCGCTTATTGAGTTTTTTACAACGATTGATTCTATTGCAAATGTTTGCATGTCTTCGAAATACATTTCCTTGATCTCCTTCAAAAGAAATTTTAATTTTTGAGAGTAACGTTTGCGATATCTAATTGAAATCAAAGCTAGAATATTTAATTCCCAACTACTTGACAGTCCGCTGATAGGAATTTCTTCAGCCCAGTCTCGGAGCTTTGATATGTAAAAAGAAGTGGGTAATTTTGGTTTGAAAACAGCTTCTTGTTGGTACTTAACATTTTTTATCTCGACTTTTTTCTTTCGCCTCCGCTTGTGTATGTATTTTTTAGCGATATTGGTCTCTTCTATAAGATTCAATGAAGGTACAGGTGTCAGGTGAAGATTTCTCGGTTTACTTGATGTGAAACTGGAGAACTCGTTACTCTTGGCGGTCATTATGCTGAAAAACAAAATTAGTAATTTTAAATGATGACAATAGCCGATATCTGAAAATTTTTATAATTTTTTTTGTTGAAAAAATTGAAATAAAAAATTTCACTTGTAAAAGATTTTAATTTATATCTACAATTTTTTTTAAGTATTTTTTAACTTGTAATTTAATTAATTAAAAAAATGAACAATTTTGATACGTTGGCTAATTCATAAAAATTAAGTAAGCTGACATTTAAAAATTTTTAGAATTTTTTTTTTATTGAAAAAATTATTATAAAAAAAAAATCATTTTTAAACAACTTAAAAAACTGAAAATGCCATTTTTAAAAAATATTTTTTTGTTCTAATTTAATTATTGAAGAAAAAATCTAGAAAATTATTAATGCAATTTAAAAAAAATTATTTCTTTAAATTTGGTTTATTTTAAAAATATAATTACAAAATTTTAAGAACAGTGAAGTTAACTATTGAGAGTTTTATAACAATGAAATTATTATAAAAAAATTTAATACTAAAGTTAGCCGACGTTTTTAATTTTTTAATTTATTTTCATTAATTAAATTAGAACAAAGAAATATTTTTTTAAAATTGCACTTACAGTTTTTCAAGTTTTTTACAAATAAAGTGTTTTTTTTATTTTTTTGTAATTTTTTCAACAAAAAAATATTAAAAAAATTTTTAGATGTCGGCTAACTTAATTTTCATTAATAAAATGATTCCACATGTGAAAATTAAAAAAAATTGATTTGTTGATAAAAACTACAAAAATCGACAATTGTCAGCTGTCATAAAATTATCAAGTGTCTGCCTATTTTGACTGTCATGATTTTATCAATATTTTACACTAGAATTTACCTAGTGCGCCACCTACTTTCTGTCCGGTCAATACACTTTAACGCTACTTTAACAATTACCGGCAACTAAATAAATAATCTATAACTAACCTAACCAAAAAACGTCTAGATAAACTAAATAAACCTGATCAACTTGTTAACTTTTTAGCTAAAAATATTATTATAAAAAATGAGTAATATTTACATCCAAGAGCCTCCTTCTACTGGCAAAGTGAGTATTGATTTCCGTAATATTTTTATTTAGTCAATAATCATAATACCTAATGTCAGTCTTAATATTATTTCAATTCTCGCACCATACTCAATGTTTATATTTTATTCTTTTATTATAAATTAATTTTTTCTTTCTGTTCTAGGTATTATTAAAAACGAGCGTTGGAGATGTTGACATTGAACTATGGACTAAAGAAGCTCCTAAAGCTTGTAGAAATTTTATCCAATTGTGCATGGAAGGTTATTATGATAACACAATATTTCATCGACTTGTAAAGGGTTTTATTGTCCAAGGAGGTGATCCAACTGGTACAGGAGAGGGTGGAGAGAGTATCTACGGTCGTCCATTCAAGGTATTTTTGTTTTGCATCTATAAAAAATTAATTAAAAAAAAAATATAGATATTATCAATATATTCGTTGACATTAAAGTTAGCATTCACTTGATGATTTTTTAATGTTAGTCAACAAACAAATTTGTTAAAAAAAATTATTTTAAAAAATTGCATTATTAATTTTTTAAAATTTCTACATGTCAATTTTTTTTTTTGCTATAATTTAATTTTCATTTAATTTTTTAGGATGAATTCCATACAAGATTGCGGTTTTGTCGGCGTGGTTTGGTCGCAATGGCCAACGCCGGCAAAGATGACAATGGTTCTCAGTTTTTTATCACACTCGCAGCAACACCAGAGTTACAAAATAAGCATACAATATTTGGAAAAATTGCCGGAGAAACAATTTACAATATTTTAAAATTAGAGGATGCCGAAGTTAATCATGTTGGTATATTAATTTATTTATTCAATAAAAATTAAATTAGCTGACATCTGAAAATTAAAAAAATTTTTTTTTATTGAAAAAATTAAAAATCTCGAAGATTTGAAAAATTTTTTATTTATAATTTATTTGATGAATAAAATCAAAAATTGTCAGCCAATTTTAGTATCATTAAAATTCAAAACTACGGAAATTTTTATTGAATAGTCAGTTAATTTTTATATTTTTATTTATTTAATTTTACAGGACGACAGACCATTATATCCTCAAAAAATAATAAAAACCGAGGTATTATTAAATCCATTCAAAGATATTGAGCCACGAGATTTGAAGAAAAAAGAAGAAAAAATTAAAGAAGCTAAACCTAAAGCTTCTGGTGTTAAGTAAGTGTTAATAAAATTTTTTTTAAATTTTTTAAATTAAAAATTTTCTTTTAATTTAATTTTATTATTATTTAAATCTGTAATTAATAAAATTATTATTTTTTTCGTAAGGAATTTTAAGCTGTTATCATTCGGAGAAGAAGCTGAAGAAGATGACGAGGAGTTTACTGTTTTAAATAAACAATTCAGTGGGAAAAGTAAATCCGCTCACGACAATCTAGATGACCCTAAATTAAGCTCCGCTGTTACGGTAGAACCGTCAGGTCCACCGAGTAAAAAAAGGAAAGAAGACCGAAGCAGCGACTGGGAAAGCGGAGATGAGTTGAATGAAGAAGAGCGTAGTAAAGCCAAAGAAAAAGCTGAGTAAGTATTTCAATAAAAAATTTCCTTTTTTAATTTATTTAGACTCTTAATTGACTATTAATTAATTTATTGATTATTATTATTTTTTTTTTTTTTTTTAGAGAAGTGAAGAAAAGAATAATGGACAAGTTGAAGAAAAAAGGAGAGGAGAAAAAAATGGTTAAGAGTAAAAAAGAGGTTAATTATGAAGAAGCTAAAGAAGAGTCTAGCGAAGAAGAATATTATATAGGAAAAGAGCGCGACGATGAGCGAAAAAAACAAGCGTATGTATTTTTTATTTATTTTATTTTATAATAATTAGGTGAGAGTTAAATATTAATTAGAGTTGTCCTTACAGGGAAGCTATTAAAAAAGAAATAAGAGGGTTGAAACGCGATGTGCAGCGTGAAAAGAAAGATAAGGAGATTAAGGAACAACAGAAGTTGGCTGAAGAACAAAAGAAGGCTAAAAAAGGCAAACTTATTGAAGAATTTGTGGAAATTCCCAAGTACAGAGAGGCTGTGGAGAAAATTCCGCTGAAAGGAGAATCAAGGGACAGTTTTACTATGCAGATGTTGAATAAATTCAAGAGTAAGTTACAAGATGTCAAGGAATCGACTTCTGATGGTGGTACTACAGAAAATAAAGATGTTAAAGATGATGATGATGATGATGATGATGAAGATGATGAATCCTGGATGCAACGGTCGTTAGTCTGTGATGATAATAATCCAACACTTGCCAAAGATGCCAACACTAAAAATGACGACTGGTTCGAAATTTACGACCCGCGAAATCCCCTGAATAAACGAAGAAGAGGAGAAACTTCAGAGAAGAAAAAGGGGCAAGGTAGTCGGCATCATTATAGAATATAATTATTATTTGAGGGAAATAATTATATTTTTTGGTACATTCGTCGCTTGTATATTTGTACATATTTCCAGTTAATTAAATTTTAACTTAATAATTTTTTTAATTTATGAAGAATTTTTTTTTTCGAGTGATTACATTTTTAGCCCTTCTTGGTCATACTTCTTAAAAATAACGTAGTGGTCATACTGGGTCTAGTTGATCTCTGTTGCTACTTGCGTTCTTTTCAATATTTTCACTCGAGCCGTATATTAGAGTAATTCTTAACACTTCTATTGAATAACTCAATCGTTTTTTAATTTTTTTTTTTTTAATTGTTTAATTATAAGATAAATTTTTAAGATAAATGAAAATGACCTCCGAGGTTCTACTCCGAATATCGCATACTAAGAAGAATGTGGTGTCATGTCTAGCTTTTCAAAAAGTATATTGATTTGTGCAATTGAAATCGTAAATTTCCATGAATTTTAAAAAATCTTCAAACAATAATAGATGGTACCACAGATACCATTTTGAATATCTTCGAAGCAAGAGCAACTAAAAAATTGTCTCGGGTTATCTAGACCCATAATAATCACTACGGGTTAATTATTTAGCAATAATTTTATCAGAATTTTTATTTAAAAATTTACTCTAATTTTTTTTTTAACTTCCATATATTCTCAAGTTTTGTAATTCAATTCAAGCAAAAAAAATTTTCTATATTCAAAAAAAATACGTGTCATTAAAAGTTGTAAAGCAACTAATTTTTTAATTAGGAGTCCCTTTTTAAAGGTGTTAAACTACGGGTTAAAAAATTATTTTTTTAAACAGGAATGAGTTTTTCGTTTTATGAAAGAAGAAATAAATAATTGTAAATTTTATACCATTAATTTCTTTTGACTTTTAATTAGCTTTGATTTAAAGGAAATTGTAAAAAAATTTAGTTTATAATTTTTATAAATTAAAAAAAATTTTTTTTGAGAATATAATGTTATAAATTGAATTTCGTAGAACCCCGGAAGAAAAAATAAAATTATCCGGTCATTGTAACTTGAAATTAAAATTAATAATTCAATTCGGCGGTGTAGTACTACAGATTCAAAGCCAGTTAAGTTGAATAATACAATAAAGTTATAATTGAGATAAATTATTTAACAAATAAAATGTACAGTACTAATAATAATAACAATAATAGTAAGAGTCTTAAGATCCCATGGTACACATAGTAAATTGATAAGGTGCCGATATATAAAGAGACATCAAACAAATTAAATTAATATAAAGATAGACGCGTATTAAATCCCAGTCAGTATCAGTACGTTGACAGCGACTGTTGCGGATCATATTTGTATTTATTTTAAATTCAAAGCTAAAATTGTTGAAAAAAAAAAAAAATAAATTTTTCTGTTGATATTTATTTTTACTTAAATAATTTATTTTATTACTTTATCATATTGTTGAGTCATTGATTCATATCGCTCATTTTTATTCTAATGATACTTTATTTTATTATTGTATTAAGTCTTACTTGTTGCTTCTCGGCCTGCAGCCAAAAACTCAATCAAAATTACTAACGCAGTTTGTTATATAAATATTATTATTACTATTTATATTTATAAGCTTCTTTGTTAAAAGTTTGTTGCGCATTTTAATATTATTTTAATCATTGTGGTGTTAATTATTTTTCTAAGTGTAAGTGATAATGTCAATAATTCCTCTTAAGTTGGATATTTACGGTAAAAATTTATTGTAATTATTTTTTTAATTATTGCAAGTGCTTTAAAATTAAAATATTATTTTATCAAACTATTAGTTTTTTTATCAAATTTATTATATTTATTATTATAATAATAATAATAATAATAATAATAATAAATATAATAATAATAATAATTATAAATTAAATACAATTTGATAAGATAATATTTGACATTCAAAAAATATTTTTAATTAATTTTATAATTATATAAAAAAGAAGAAATAATTTTTTTTCTTTTTTAAGTATAAAATTTAATTATATAGAAAAATGTTAATTAAATAAAAATTAATAAATTATTCATAGGAATTTAAATGGTAGGTAATTTTCCACTATTTGCAATCTTGTTTAATCAGCGTCGACGTGCAGACGTTTAAGCTTGAATCTTTTATCAGATATTATCAAGAAAAAATAAATAATAAATATTTATAAATATAAACTGTGACTTATTAATAATTTAATGACTTTTTAATTCAGATGAAGATACGAGACCGCGTGACTGGGACCCGAAGAAAACAGAGTGTCGCGGTCCCTTGAAAATTGCGCGGTTGTGTATTCTGGGCATTATTTTACCCGCGGCTTTGGTCGCGGGCCCGGTTTATCTGCGCTATCGCGTCTATTCGGAACAATTGTACCCGCTGGCGGCTTCGGATCAACGGCTGATCGATGCACGTGTTTCGACTACTTGGTGCCAGGTATGCGGATATTTTTGTTTTTGTGTTTTTTAAGAATTTTTATTATTATCATATCATTTTAGTATCTTTTATTGTTATCAGTTGTTTTTAAATTAATTAAAGAAGCTTATCGGAAAGTGTTAATTATGCGATAAGTATCGTTTATTATTTTTATTTGTTTTATTTAAATAGAAACAAGTGGTTAAAGTAAATGCAACATTTAATGCATATTTGATTAATGGTGAACCCAAGATTAAAGTTGACGCGATTCCAGTTTCTATGACGAGACACTTGGTGTTGGAAGATGATATGAAAGAATACTGGGGATTTTATCTTTTACGTGGGAGCAGTGTTACTGTTTCTACTTGTGTAAGGTATTTTTAGATATCTTTTTTTTCTCATTATTTATTTATTTATTTATATACTTAAACGCAAATCGGCTTTGTACGCATTAGTAATACAAACATTTTGAGAGACATTTATATAAACAAAATTATAATAGAAGAAAGATTAATATACATAAGGAAAAATATTGCAGCATTATGAAAATTAATTTAGCAGATATTTGATAATTTAAAAAATTTTTTTAACAAATAAATTATGACAAAAAAAAGTAGAATAAAAAATTGACATGTAGAAATTTTAAAAAATAAAAAATGCAATTTTTTTAATGACACTGAAGTTTGCAGACGTCTAAAAATCTTTTTGATTCTTTTTATTAATTAAATTACAACTAAAAAGATATTTATAAAAAATTGCACTAATAGTTTTTCAAGTTTTGTACAAGTGAAATTTTTTTTCTTAATTGTCTAATTGAAATTTTTTTAATAAAGAATTTATAAAAATTTTGAAATGTTGGCTAACTTCATTTTCATTTTTTTTAACATAATTTTTTGGAAAAAATCTATTTGTTAAAATATTAAAAAATAGTTAAGTGACTGCTAACTTTAATGTCATTAGAGATTTATTTTAATTTAGCCAAAAATGCTCTATAGGAACTATCGAAAAAATTTATGTCAGTGTGATATATTTAAATTAAATTTAAAAATCCTTGATTTTTTGGTCGGCGCCGGAAATTAAACCGGGTACTTTTAATCCTCTCTTTCTTCAGTTTATCATTAAGCTACGCTTAAACGTGATATGTGATATATTTAATTATAAAAGATTATTATTATTTTTAAATCAATAATCATAATAATACGATTTTTATTATTGTTATTCTCAAAATAATTCAAACAAAAAAAATAATATTTAAAGACTTTTTAATTCTTAATTGCATCAAATTTCCGCTAGGTGTCGCATAAGCGCTACACCAACTCGCACTTAGAAAGCTAAGGCTCAAGTATTTAGAACCGAAGTGAAGTAAAAATAATAATATCGTATTATTATTATTATAATTATTATTATTATTTTCAAAAAAATTCAAACCAATAATAATAATAATTGATAATTTAAGAAAATCTTATGATTATTATTTAAATAAAAAAATTATTGTGATTTTTTTCTAACATTAAAATCTATTATTTAAAATTATTTTTCATCATCAATTTTATTTGTATTAAAGCTACAAATTTAAAAAAATAAATGTTTCTCACAATAATTTTTAAATTAGTTAATTTCTTCATAATATTAATTTATAAGTATAACTGTAAAAAAATATAAATAGTATAAAAATTGAGTCAGAGAACAAAAATTCCCCGGGTAATAAAAGAATCATAAAATAATAATTATAATTACTATTAAACTATAAAAATTGATGATCTATGATCATTTCTTCAGATGGCCCGGAGCGTCATTAACAATAATCCGTGGCCATAAACATTTACACGAGTGTGCATTTATCGGTGACGATAGTAGTGAGGAGTTAGAAGAATTACTAGAGATAGCCGAGGAACGAGGAATCTTAAACGGTACCGGCTTATCGCAGCTCAAAAAGGTGAGACTTGCTCTAATCTTTAATCTACTTTTAAATGTCACCAATTTTTAGCTCATATTCATAATAATAATTTTACCTTTATAAACTTTCTTCTTTCGCGTAACTATCAGGACAATCCAAGCAATCTTCCAAAAAACATGAAGCGAGTCCAGGCGGGTGTTCAATTCCACCACCAGAAGAACACCGGGTTCAGTGGAACAAATCTCGCGAGCCACTACAACAGCCACGAGCTCGATGCTCCAGCAATGCGGGAAATTTTGAAAAATCTCTTCGCGAAAACTTTGGAGACGAAGAACAAGCAAAAGTCTAACCCTCATCATCATTATGAGGGTGTTTTCAGAGAAAGTGTAAATATTGACCGGCCGCCGACTACCTTCGACAATTACTCGTGGATTTCCGAGCAATTGAAGGCTCTGGAGCAAAAAACCGAGCAGACAATTATTGAAAATGAAAAAACTACTGCTGAATACAACAAAGAAGCTAATTTCCCTGAAAAAGAAGAAATGAATCAGGTGAAAGCGAACGAAAATTTAGAGCAAACTTCTGCGGAAGTGTTTAAAGATATTCTTCAGAAGATAAACTCTCTAGGAACTCGCGGAAGAAGAGTAATAGACAAATTAATTACGACTTTAGACGAGTCGAAGAATGAAACTCATAATTGGACGAAAATGCTGCACAATGTAATTCAAAATTCTACTATTCTTCCCGCGGAAAAGAAGCGACTGAAGCGCCAACTGTTCCTCTCCAATCCTCTGCAAGAAGCTCTAGGAACCGCCGTCGAAGACGACGAGGACGCTGCGGTCGAAGAAGAAGACCTTAACCCAGACGGAATCGCAGAAGACCGCGGTTCCGTTAATGAGTCTACGCTAAACGATCGCAGTAATTCGGAGTTCTGGAGCTCTTTTAGCAGCTCCGAGGAACGTCTTCTCGATTGCAAGGGGCTGATTTTGAACTTACCGTTGACGCCGCATCATCTATGCTCGCCGAAGTACGAGAACCAACATTCAGCGGCCTCTATGCCAAATGCTGTTACTTATCGGGTGCCGATTGACGGCTATTACTTCTTTGTCTTCAGTTCCGAGAACGAAATACAGCCTAATTACATTCGCATACAGTTCGACTTGCTGAAGACTGTCTACAATACTTCCCAGCCGATTTTTGAGTGCAAGAATTCGACGAGCGAGTGCTCGTTGCCGTTCAATTTCTTCAGTTGGGAGCGAACTGTTTTGGAACTACCGGTCACGAACAATGACTCGCAGTGGAACGAAGAATATGTTGTCGTGTCACAATGTGAGCCGAGAACGGCTGTTTATCTTCTTTGTATTATTACAGTCCCGTTACTTATTCTGTTATTTGCATTTCATTGATTTTAATTGCTCATTAACAGAAGAGAGTTATGTTATTGGGTTATTATGTATACACAGAAAAAAAAAATTAACTTGAATCAAGAAAATAATTTTAAAAAAGTTCAACTTCTTAATTTAAATGTAAAAATTCTTAAAGTAAGAAAGTTTTCTTGGATTAAGTAAATTTTACTTGATTGAAGAATTTTTTGTCTTAATTCAAGACAATGAAACTCTTCAAAATTATTTTCTTACTTCAAGAATTTTTCTCTTGATTCAAGTTAATTTTTTTCAGTGTATAGTTAGGTTAATTAAGAGAATTAAGGATTTATTTATAAATGGACTAGTTGCAGAAGAAATGGAGAAATTTACATAAAAATTGTTGATATATATTTTATTTTGTTGAGTTATACCGAAAAGTACCATCAGTTTAATAGTTTATAAAATTATATGTAGTAAAATTAGCCTTGTAAACACAATTACGGCCGAAATTATCAATAGATCTTAATGAAACTTTGTAGATTTATTCTGTGAACAAATATCTCGGTTAAGTTTAAATTTCGGCCAAATCGGTTTATTAATTTTATAATTATGGGTAATTAAAAAACTTTTTTTTTATAAAATCAAATTTTTTTCCAAATTTAAAAGTATTAATGATAATCTCAAATTTCATGAAATTAACTTCAATTTACATTATTTTTAGCTTTTTTAAATAATATTAAGAAAAATTATCATTATTATTCAATAACTTCATTATTGGTTAATAAAAAAAAAGCAAAATTTCCACTATTGAATACAATAAGGTAAGAGACCCCTTTAGTAGCACTAGAAGGAAGGGGGTTAACAGAATGATTTTTTAATATTATAGTTAAAGTACAAATATTGAATTTTTTTTTGTACTTAATGCCTTCATTACTGTTTAAACTCACATAATTAATTAAAAAAATTTTAATTTTTCCAAATTTACCATTATTTAAAATCCATTATTCAAATGACTAAAAAGATTTCCCTGAAATCGAAATTAATCTGTGATCTAGAGGTCTTAAAAATTCGAAATAAAATAGCCATAATAGAAATTAATTATTAAATTTATTAATTAAATAGCAAAATCCATTAAAGTGCCACTAATGAGGTCTTTTACCTTATCCCTTAATTTTATGGATTTTATAAAAACTCTAAAGTTAAAATCAAAAATTAAAATTTTTACCATGCACAGAAATTGAAAAATTTACATTTTTGGCCTTTTAAATTAAATTGTAAATTGTAACTAGCAAATACGGCAGCTTTTTAATTATTAAGTTTGAAAGCTATTTTTACTGAGCTACATATATTTATTAAGGTAAATATTTTTGTATTAATCTAAGAAAAAAAATTTTAAAGAGAAAAGTAGTTTTGATTCAAGAATTTTTTGTCTTGAATTAAAAATTTTTAATATTATTAAATAATTTTATTTTCTATAAAGAATTCAAAATTTTTTATAGAATTTAATTGAATATCTTGAGCAAAATTATAATTCATAAAAAAATCCTTTATTCTCTTAATTTAATTATTTTTATTAATATTAATTATTATAAAAAAAAGTTTAAATTTTTGTACTGCAAAAAAATATTTATGTGTAAAAATTAGGGAGGGGGGGTCTAAACTAAAGACTATAAATCAGTATTTAACTTTGATTTTAATTGTTATTGATACCTCAAATGCGCGTGATAATAAACGACTGTAAATAACTAAAGAAAATAATTATAATAAGAAAAATAATGTACCTGCAAGACTGTGTAAGCTGTGTTAAAAAAGTTTATTGTTTAAAACTCTTATAAAAATAAGGAATAAAAGTAAAAAAAACTAGAGTTTCAACGTCACGGTTATCACTGAGACAAAAGTCGAGTAAACTTGTGATTCCTTAACTCTTAATTCTTTATTCGTTAATCTAAGCGACTTTTATTATATTAAGAAGTTATTTTCATTTTTAAGTATTTAAGATAACACTTTTGTGTTAAATTAATACCCGTAAGGTGAATCGGTTTCGTTTAATCCATAATATTCGCGCTGGCAACGCTCACCCCAGAATCAAGGAACAAACTTATAAATATAAATATATATGTATAAGGGGTCGATACAAACACATTTAACCCGCAAAGTTGTGTAAGCTTTTTGTTGTTATTATTTCTGTACTAACACAATAATGTTCACGTAAATGTATGTATTGGTCCTGTGGAGTTAATATGATGCTCCTCTGGTGAAGATCCAAGGGCGGAGCATCCCTTATCAGTGAGAAACACTCCTCAGTTGAGATTTAGCAATTACTGGAAATAACATACTTGTTGTAATAAATAAATAAATAAATAAATTTATTTTATAGTTCTTGTAATTAAATTTTCAATAAATTTTTATCTTGACTAATCTTGATTAATATATATTTTTTTTTTACAAATGTTTTTTATTCTTATTATTTATTTTTAAGTATTAAGGATTCATATTATTAATGAGGATTAAAAATAAGTTGATAATTGATAATGCAATTTTAATATTATAAAATGAAATTAAAATTTTAAGCTGTAAAAAATAGAGCGATTGTCGATAAACAAACACTTGTGATGGGATTAATATGGTGCGGCTGGTGTGTTGCGATAAGGAAAATTGATTTCACCCTCACTTCTCACCCAAATATGTATATATACGTGCATAGGGATAAATGTTGAATTGCGTTGACGTTCATGGGACATTGCGCAAACTGGTTTTGTTACGCCTCTTTTATTGACACACCCTTCATCATTTTTTTGAGTTAATTAAATGTTTTTGTTTGATAAGTTTTTTGAAATTTATTATTTTTATAAAAATTATTTTAGAGAATAAAAATTTTGTTAAATATCGCTGAATATATAAAAAAAAAAAAAATAATTAACTAAAGTATTTTTTTAGTTTGTAATTTTGAAAAATTCGATCAAAAATAATTAAATAAATTTTTTGTATTAGAAATTAATTAAAAAATTTTTAATCTCAATACTGAAATTAAAAAATAGAATTTTTCATTTAATAAATTGAATTATTCATTTAAAATTTTTGCAACCCAAAAATTGATCTATATTATTAAAAGAGTAAGAAAAATTTTGTATTCAGAATATTCATATGATAAAATCGGTTTTTTTAGTGAAATTTATTGTCATTGCAAAGGTCTTGATTTGAATATGTGCCTTTTCAAGGTTTTAGATCATTCTCACCGATAATCAATTTATTATGATAAGTATTTAGGCTACATTCGAAAATGCTCTGTCTCTAGCTACACAATTAAGAAATGACCTTGTATCACGTGAACTATTGACATTTTTAAAGATATAAGCTCATTCCGATGTTACACTCATCGAGACCTTTCGTTTGAGTACCCACATCAATTTTCTCATATATTTATATATATTATATATATGTATATATATGAAAAATATATCAAAATGCATGTGGGTACTCACATGAAAGCTTTTTGATGAGTGTAACATCGGGATGAGCTTATATCTTTAAAAATGTCAATAATTAAGAAATGACATTGTATTGTGTCAACTAATGAAATTTTTGAAGATATAAGCTCATCCCGATAATACACTCACGAAGACCTTTCATTTAAGTACCCACATCAATTTTTCATATATTTTATATATTTATATATATATGTATATATGAAAAATATATGAAAATGCATGTGGGTACTCAAATGAAAGCTCTCGATGAGTGTAACATCGAGATGAAGTTATATCTTTGAAAATGTCAATATTTAAGAAAGTACAGTGCAATTTAACAAGTCATTATTTAATAAAGTAAAATTTTATTTATTTATAGTTCACAAGTCACGGCAGTCACATAGTGACTGCAAGGTTGTTAGTAAATTATAAATATTATAAATTAAAATTTTAGGAGTATATTAACCATTAAAAATAAGAAAAAAATTTTTAATCTCAATATTTAAATTAAAAATACAATTTTGAATAACAAAAATATGCAACCTAAAAATTAATAAATTATAAACATTATAAAAAGTAAATTAACGATTAAAAATATATAAATAATATTATAATTAAAATTTTCTTGATTTTTCCAAAGATAAATTTGATAATTTTCCCACAGTTTGGTTAAAACTACCACCGAGTTTAAATATAATTATAATATAAGTCAAATATCTTATTCGCCGTCACGCGTGTGGGAAACCACAGCCCTCAAGCTCCCCAAGAGCGACCACCGAGAGCGACTAAGGCCCTTGCAGAAAACCGATGGTAAAAAAATCATATTCTACGTTATTTCCGCGCACGTATTCCAGTTATTTTATATTATTTAGATCTTACGGATAAATATTGATTACAGATTACGGATATACTGTGCTCTTTATAATATCAGTAGCTACAGATTGATATTGTTATGTGCGGTGCACTGTTCGGGACCCCAGTGGTGATGGCACGCGCCAATCACCCTGCAAAACGCAAAAGGCAAAAGGGTGCCGAATAAAAAAATCTTTTTTTGTGACTTATTAGTCATGTTAAATATTTATTATGTCCGTATAAGTTATCATTCTGATGAGAGAAATATTTTTATGTGATTGACGTCTCTTATCTAACATATGTTTTTTTTTAAGATTATAAAATTGAAATAAAAAAAATTTTTTTTTCTAAAGTTTAAAATTAATAAATAAAATAATGACAATTAAATTAGCCGACATCTAAAAATTTTAATAATTTTTTTTATTGAAAAAATTATTACAAAAAAATTTAAATAAAAAATTTCACATACAGAAAATTTGAAAAATTATAGGGTAAATGCACCAATTATTGACCGATTAAGGTTTTCTTTTTCTGTACTAAGCTATAAAAAATCTATTAACCTACTAAAACCAATTTATAATGGATTTTATTAAAGTTAAATACTTAATTAATAATAATTAATAACTATTTATAATAAAAATTAACAAAATTGTATTAATTTTGTTATTTGAATGTTGAAATACTAAAATCACCAATTATTGACCGAATAAACCCAATAAATGACCGACCGTTCTCCAATTAATTGACCGCTTAAATAATTATAAGTAATTTTGTAAACTACATGTATGTAATTAAATTTATGCAGTACTTTTAAAGTATTAACGACATCTTCAACAAAACTAAACATACAATATAATTTTAAATCGTACTTTTTTATAAAATAATATAAATAATAGCAATAATTAACATAAAGTCACATTTTTTTAGGTCACAAATAATCACAAATTCATTTTAATGACGATAATTCTTCTGATTAACTTGAAATTTTTTTATTCTTCTCCTTCTTTTTTTTCAATTAAAGCTTTTTTACTAGCTTGTAACTCTTTTTTATTTTTTTAATTGCTTAGCAATTTTTTCTTCTAATAATTCGTTCTTTGATATAACCGTTCACTAAAAAAATTAGAACAAAATAAAATTTAATAATCAAAAAAGATTTTAAGTATTATTTTAATTGTAAATATACATTTTATAATGATTATTTTTATATTTACAAAATATTGAATGACTAAAGTACTTTAAACACTTGACAGATTTAATTTTGAGCTTAAGAAGTTAGTATTATAAATATACGATGATTAATTGGATTGTGATATACGGTCATTAATTGAATTGTGATAGAATCAGAGGGTCTAATAAATGACCGAATGAATTTTTTACTGGGTAAAGGGCTTCTGACGGATCCAATAGTTGACCGGTCTTAAAATAATATTAAAACTTATAATTTAACTTTATTTTTTCAAAAAAGTTGGAATCTGATCTTTAATTAACATAATAAAACTAAAATATTTTATATTATGCCGATAAATATCACTAAATTAATTATGAAATGCACTCACTCTCCAATTGTACGCTAGTTATTTTTGACCGCTTTATGGCTGGTTGCGTTGTAAACAAACTCAGAATATTTTTTTAAAGCTATAATCACTGCGCAATTAATTGCGTAATTTTTTATTATGATGATTAAATGCCATATTTTTTTATTTTAATCCTTTAAGAAAAAAAAACCCTTGTAAAATATTAATTAATTAACTTTTTTATACATCGGTCAACTAATTGGTGACCGGTCAACAACTGGTGCATTTACCCTATGTGCAATTTTTTTATTTGTAATTTAACTAATGAAAAAAAAAAAAATTCTTGAACATCGGCTAATTTTAGTACCGTAATAAAATAAATAATTACAATACAAAAAATTTCCATCAAATTTTTTAGAATTTTTCTTATTATTTAAATAAAAAAATTTTTAGTAATTTTTATACTGTTAAGCAAGTGAGTGAAATTTTCTAAATTTACAGGACGTGTAGTTGAAAAAAATTAACTATTCAAAAAGTGAACAGTACTTGAAGTTTTATTTAAGTATCTTGTATATTAGTAATTCAAAGATATCTTTACAATGTACAAATTACTTAAGCCAAAGCAGGTGTTTAAAATTCTTTTCAAAGTCCATTTCAGCGGTATTGTCCTACTGCAATAATATCCTTGAAATATTTACGGCTAACCCAACAGCTGTTTGTCATAAATTAAAACTAATTACTTCCAAAAAAAAAATTCTAGTAACTATATTTAAAAATTAAAATTTTTATCTTTATTTTTTTTAAATATTTTATTTAAGCTTATTATTAAATTTATTAAATTAAATTAAAAATTCAAGAGATTTTTTAGTTAAAAAATAAAAAATAAAATTTTTCAGTTTTAAATTATACAAAATTTATGAAAATTAAATTAGCCGACATCTGAAAATTTTTATAATTATTTTTATTGAACAAATTGTTACAATAAAATTATACGTGCAATTTTTTTAAAGTATTTTTTTACTTGCAATTTAATTGTTGAAAAAAATAGAAACATTTTTTAACGTTGGCTAACTTTAGTATATCATCAAAATTTTCATAATAAATTACTACAAAAATTTAAATTCATCTTTTTTTTATTTTTTGGAATATTTAATTTGAGTTAAGAAAAACTTTTATTACATTCAAAAATTTTGACATTTTTATTTAAAAAAAAATTTTATAATAAAAAAAAAATAAAAAATGTTATCACATTTATTTTTTTGAATATTTTATTTAGAGTTAAAAATAAATTTTATTAAATTCAAAATTTTCAATTGAAAAAAATTTTTTTTTCTGAATTCTAAAAAATTTTATAATAAAAAATTAATAAAAATACAAGACAATTTCTCACGAAGCTTTGAGTGGTAATTACGGTCGAATGATCACTGATGACACTCCCTAATAAAACCCTCATTGCCGATACAAACTTGTCACAATAACTAAAAAGCCACACGTGACTAGTTGGCCACTTGACAATCATGGGGTGGTAAAACGAGATCATCTACTCTTTAATAAAAACAATTTCGTCACTTTCTATTGATGCACTGGAAATAAATCCACTGCTTAACTTTTTGCGCATTATTATCTTTATCATACCCTTCTTACTTACCATAATAATAATTAATATATTTTTTATAAATACTAATACGGTTTTGATCGCCCGGGAGAGCACCGTCAAATAGAACACCAGGGTGAGACAAAAATTGATACAGATACATATACGTGGTCCAGGGATGCTGCGTCGCATGGGATGTCCCAGTAGCTCCACCCACGTCTGCTCCGCCTTTACTAAATAATATTTTAACTCTCCAGCATACCAGTGCTTTTCGATTAGTTAAATCACGACATTCGTCACCAACACGTCGTTTGAATTTTAAATTATCTCTTCAATTTTGTGAACAAAAAAATAAATCCTCTAATTATTTAAAAAAAAAAAAAATGGTAAGTGTAAATTTTTTTTTAGTGATAATAATAATAACAATAATAATTAATGATTATTATTATTGCAGCCAGGATTTTTCCCTAAATTTAAAAATAACAATTAATAATTAATAATTAAAATTTTTTTAAATTAAAGTTCAAAATTTAATTTTTTACAAAAAATTTTTCTTATAATTTTTTCTTAGACCAATAAGAAATCCGTAATTTAAAAATGAAAATTTTTAGCCGTATAAAAAAATTATAAGAGATTTTTTTTTGTAAAAAATTAAATTTTCTAAAACTTTTGTTCAAATTTTTGAATTTTTTTTATAGGATCAATATTTTCACCGTGAGATTTAAAATATTAATAATTAATTTTAAAATTTTGGCAAAAATCTTGGCTCCAATTATTAATTAATAAAAAAGAAAATAAGCAACTGATAAAATAAAAATAAAAATTTGGCTTATCACATTAAAGTGTATTTATAGCTGTGAACAAAGTGCTGGATGTTGGCTTACTATCTGACGAATGTCAGGGACAATTTAGTCGGGGTGTGATATCAACTTCCTCTTTAGCGCAATGTAGGCTACACTAATTTGTTGAGTGATTATCGAAAGAATCCTTCGATATAAATAAAAATTAAAAAATTTATCGCATTTTATAAATATTACAATGAGTGATGTTCTATATTTGGATTTGAGTTTATAATAATATATAATCATTTTAATGAAAATAATTTACCAGCCAATGCTGACTTACGTTACGAATAATGGAGCGACAGATGCTGAGGACAGATCACCGACAACCTCTCTCATCTCAGGAGACGGCGAGATCGTCGATGACTCGGGAGACTCACCGGGAACTAGGGATACTGAGGAAGAAGCTATGTTGTCGGATGAATTTTATTCGCTTGACACTGACGACGAGGAGGACCCGCTTAAGAAGAGAAAGGAATCTTTAGCTGTATGTTCATTTTTTTTTTAATATTTTTGTTAAAATTTATTTGAATTTTGTTTTATTATTAACAAAATTAAGAAAAGTCATTTTTAATAAATTTATAAATATTTTTTGGGTTTTTCTCAAAGTAAAAATAATTAACAAATCAACTGTTTGGCCTAAAAATTTTTTATGGGATGTGAAAAAAATTTAGTTGGTTTTATAATAATCATTAAAAATAAATTTATCGAGTGAAATTAAATTTGTAAAAGTAAAAATGATCTACCCCGATAAATCGGGACCAATAATTGGACAGCAATTGGGATATTATGGGGCAAAATGTAAAATTAATGACTAAAGTAAAGTTAGAAATTTTTGAAAAAATGAACTCTGATTTTTTATTCGTTTAGAATGAAAGTGCGCAATTTAAATTTATAGTAAATCATTAATTTACACACTGATATATAGAAGGATTTCTTAGTATTTAAGAAATATTTCTTAAGTACCCGTGTAAAAAAAAATCGTCTTAAAATTGTCGTTCGTTTAAGATCTTAAACGTGACACAAACTAAGACTATTTTAAGATTCTTTTAAGATGCCAAAAAAAAAAATTCCGAGATTTTTTAATAATTATTTTGATTTTTTTAAGACTATTTTAAGATTTGAGTTTTAAAATAATTTTTAAATAGTCTTGAAAAATCTTTTTAGGCTATTTTCAGATGACATCACAGTGACAGCTCCGGAAAGTTATTATGGAGCGTCTTTAAATTGTCTTAAATTAGTCTTAAAAAAATCTTAAAAAAAAATTTAGACTATTTTAAGATGGGTTAACAGCGACAGAGTCCCGGAACATTAAAACGGAACGTCCTCAAAAAGTCTTAAAATTGTCAGATAATAATTTTTTAACAATTTTACATTCAATCTAAAAACATCTTACCCAAAAATATTGCGGTTAGAAAGTCGTAAAATCATCTAAAAATTAATTTTCACAACAAATTCGAGAACAAAATTTTCAAAAATCTGCTCTCGGAATTTTTCTTTTGGCGTCTTAAAAGAGTCTTAAAATAGTCTTAAATTGTGTCACGTTTAAGATCTTAAACGAACGACAATTTTAAGACAATTTTAAGACGATTTTTTTTTTACACGGGTACTAAGAAATATATTTTAAATACTAAGAAATAATGTTTAAGAAATGATTTCTTAAATACAAAAAAATCTTCTTAAATGCTAAGAAATCCTTCTGTCAGTGCATCATATTGAAAATTATCTGAAAAAATTTTACAGTCAGTGAGAGTTTTAAAATAAGATGGCCGAAATGAATACCTACACAGAAAATAATTTACTTGAATCAAGTAAATAATTTTGAAGAATTTCATCTTTTTGATTTGAGTAAAAAAATTCTTAAACTAAGAAATTCTTTTTGATTTAAGTGAATTTCACTTGATTCAAGAATTTTTCGTCTTGATCCAAGACACTGAAACTCTTCAAAATTATTTTCTTGGCTTAAGAATTTTTCTCTTTGATTCAAGTTAATTTTTTTTTCTGTGTAGCAATAAAAAAAAAGTTTGTGAGTAAAATTATATAATTAAAAGTAAAATTTTCTTTAGATAGATGGTTCATGCAGTAGCCGTCACCTCAATTCACCGTCGGGGCAAATAGGAACAGGAGGAGTTAGAAAATTATTCACCAACAGTCGGGAACGTTGGCGACAACAAAATGTCAGCGGTGCTTTTGCCGAATTGCGTAAATTGGTGCCGACTCATCCGCCGGAAAAAAAATTGTCGAAAAATGAAATTCTTAGGATGGCGATAAGGTTAATTTTCTCTTAAAAATTTAACTTGTAAAACAAATTAATTGATAATGAATTTTTTTTTTAATTTTATTAAAAAAAATTTCAGATTTTTTCAATTGAAATTTATTCTTCAATTATTTGAGTAATTTATTTATTAACTTATGAATCTTTAGATACATCAGACTCCTAACAAACGTCTTGGAATGGCAAAAAGCCCAAGAGCGCAATACAACTCTACAGAACCACGTGAAAATAAAGTGCGAGCCGCATTTGAACTATCAGCTAAAAAGTCAGATACAGAAGGAAGAAAAATCCCGATTTGTAGATCACGCGCCCGGGCAGCATTGCGATAAAAACGGTAATGATTTGCTGATGATCGCTCCTCTGATCACGCCAAATCATCAGACTCTAAAAAATCAAATTTCCCAGAGTCAAAACCGCTCCAGAGTCTTCCAAAAATCTCACAACACTTTGATCGTGTCCAACATCATCTCCAATGGTAGTTCCTCGTCTGCCTCTCTAGTTTCTAGCTTGAAAAGTCCGAGCAAGCGTTTGAAGGTTGAGCGAGACGAGGAAGAAGCTAGTATAAAAATCTCGAGGAATAAGAGGTCGAAGGTCTACAAAGATTGCAAAAATTCCGAATAAAGTTGTTTTATTAATTATTTATAATATATATTTATTATTATGTAATTAATAATTTGTTATTTATATTGCATCTTTTTAACTGTGCAATTTAATATTAATCGATACTGCAGCTTTGCTCAGTGTACATATATAATATACATGTAATTTTATTTAATTATTTAAAACTTAAGTAATTAACCCTTGAAGGACTAATTTACAACTCCGGAGGATTTTTTAATTTTTGTACAAGCAAAATTATTAAATTTAATTAAAATTTTTATTTTTATCCACTGTAAAAAAATGAATTTGATTAAAGAAAAAAATTTTAGTTAAAAAATATTTTTTTGATTAAAGAAAATAAGTTTGAATTACACTGAAAAAAACTAAAATTAAATTTTTGACAATTAAGTGCCTTGTAAAAAACCAAAATTACCATTTCAAAATATAATTTTAATAAACTCAGTAATAATTATAATTTAAAAACTAAAAATTAATTTATAGAATAATTATTTTTTCAAAATTATTTACAAAGTTTCTCAAAATTATATTTTGAATCTATAATTTTTAAAATATTCATCTTAAATATCTTAAAAATAAAAATTACCTTAATAATAATAAATTACAATAATCAAAAGTGTCCAGACAACAAAAAAACATAATCAACCCCCTTGTCTATCTTATTATTTATTACCCTTCAAGGGTTACACTGATAGGAGGATTTCTTAGAATTTAAGAAGATTTCTTTATTATTTAAGAAATCATTTCTTAAACATTATTTCTTAGTATTTAAGGGGGAACACCAATGTGACGATCGAAAAAAAAGAGGTAATTTTCGAGAATTTTTTTGACAGGGAAAATAAAGGAATTTGGAGATCGGATCTTTTTTATTTTATTAAGGATACATTAAAAATTATTACCCTAAATTTTTATTAAAAAATATTTAATTATTACAAAGTTATTAACAATCTCGTAGAGCATTAGAAAAAATTTCCCCCTCCATGGTCGGTTCAATAACTCAAAAACGGATCATCTGAAAATAAAAACCCAAATTGCTTTCTAATCAGTAACGATGTAGTTATTGACGCACGTACGGAATTAAAAAAATTTTTATTTTAAAGATTTTTTCAGCCGGGCTAAAACAAAAAAAAAAACATTAACAATAGTGAGAAAATTTTAATCCAATCGCCATTTTTTGAAAAATTAAAAAATTTAGGGTAATAATCTTGAATGCACCCTTAATAAAATACAAAAAATCCGATCCCCAAATTCCTTCATTTTCCCTGTCAAAAAAATTCCTGAAATCACCTTTTTTTTCGATCGTCACAATGGTGTTCCCCCTTAAGAAATATTTCTTAAATACCAAGAAATATTATAAATATTTCTTAAATATAAAGAAATCTTCTATCAGTGTCCTAAAAGCCCTTAACATACCAAATAAACCCCCACAAAATTACGTCAAGTAAACTTTATACCTAGTACTCTTTCTCTTTGCCCTCAGCATCATCGATTTGGACGGCAAATCATCGTTGAGTTGATCGTTGGTAGGTAAAGGAGTCGCCGGACGTTCTTCACCCTGACTTAAGGCGCGTCTCGGCGGAACTTCGATGATTCTCTCCGAGGGTTTATTCTCAACACTGAGACATTTCCCGATGCTAACATAACTAGCATCGCTAGTGCGCTTAGAAATGACCTCAGCGTAGCTTCCACTGACATCAGAGTCCCTTTTCGCTGCACAATTATTATTCCTCCCACAATCTCTTGCATCCCAACTATGCCTGTTCCTGGTCTCATGGTCATCAGAAAAGGTCCTTCTCTCCGGAACAATGGCTTTGTGAGTGTTAGTAGTCAAATCTTCACTAAGCCGCATCCTTTCTTCACTAAACCTTTTCACGCCTTTTCTCTCCGCTGTAAAATTATCATTTTCTTCATTTTCGCAGTTCTGCCTCCTGATTTTGGGCCTAGCGCTATTGACCCTGTCATTGAACTCCAAATCCTTGCTGTTTCTCCTCCTGGGTTGTTTACCTTTAGCCCCATCATCTTCGCTGCTGTTGCTGATCCAGGTGTACTGATTCGAGGCATTGGAGGCCCGTTTTGGCCATTCGTTTTCCGTCTTGAAGTCATACAACTCGCGGATCTTCTGACTAATCCTTGCAATTTTATCCACGGGGTCGTTTTTCTTCGCTAAATAGGATTCGTTGATAATATCATGGTCAATTTCAATCTCGCTTTTGGAGTTTTCCGAGTGAAATTTCCTAACTGGCCACTTGGGAGTCTCCTGGAGCTGAACGGAAGCTTTCCTCTCGACGGACAAGCTCTGCCTGGGCAGACTGGAGGGCAGCTGATACTTGGCAAAGGTCATCCACTTGCTGGCGGCGTTTCTCGCGGATCTATTGGCGAGTTTCGGAGGCTCCGAGGGGTCGCTGATTTTCGGGATAGGAACCCACCTGAAGGACAGAATTTTTTCGTGAGTGACCTCGGTGTTTCTTCGGTCGAGCCTCCGGTCCCTGGACTCGACGTCGGAACTCAGGCTCCTGCACGCCGGCTTTACTACCCGAGATTGTTCCTCGAAACTGGACACGCGACGGCGCTCCAAGCTGGGAGAAATCTGGAGGGTCTTGGAAGAAGGAGAAATTTGGGCAGGAAGGTCCAGCTTGTCGCTAACGGGACTCAGAGAAGGTTTCCGCTCTGCGGAGGGACTCCGAGACCCGGACCGGGACCTCGGGAGCCAGCGGGACGGGTTCAGTCGCCAGGACTCGCCTCCTTCGGTGTTCCTGCGCTCCTCTATGCGCTCCGCGTACTTTCTTAGGCGGTCAACGTCCGCGCTGCGGCTTCGCTGGCTCCTCGGGGAACGAGATGGTCTTCGCTGACCAGTGCCCAGTGGGCTGATCCTGTCCTAAGCGAGATGAAGTTTCGCGTAGTCGGATATGTGGAGGAGCCCGTGCTCTGCAGAGGCCACGTGCAGGCTCGTTCCGCAGATTCGCGAGTTTATCATCGGGTTGTGCAGTTCGGAGATTTGGCTGCTGCAAGCCGCCGCTGGGTCTCCGCTTGCTGCTAAGTATCCGTTCCAGAACTCGTTTCCTGGGAACGCGTTTCCGTCCCACGCGTAGGTTACCACAAGAAGTTTGTCGGCGTCGGTGGAACGCACTAGCTTGCTGTGAGGCTCTCTCAACGCGAAGTGGATCTTGATGTCTGTGAAATTTTAAAAGTTGGTACACAGAAAGAAAAATTTACTTAAATCAAGTAAATAATTTTGTCTTGTTGATTTAAGTTTAAAAATTCTTAAACTAAGAAATTTTTCTTGGTTTAAGTAAATTTCACTTGATTCAAGAATTTTTCGTCTTAATTCGAGTTAACTTTATTTTCAGTGTAGTTTTAAGAGGTTCGGCGGAGATGGAAAAAAATTTTTTTAATCAAGAAATTATTTTGGAAATTGATTAAGGTACCCGCGGGTAATAAGGCTTAAGTGATAATAGAAATGATATTTATAAAATAACCGCTTATTTCATCAGCCATCATATGCTAAAGTAGCGCAGAAGAATTCCTAAAAAACGGTTTGAGTAAACGGTAAACATTTTTTATAATTTTATATTTAATAATTTAAAATCATTGTTCTAATTTTTATCAACATCTTAAAAAGTATTGTTGCTAAATTTGAGTGATGGTTGATCTCTAATACCAATTTTATTAAGTATAGCATAAATATTTCCAGTATGCTTAACCCGCAGGCCTTATTACCCTACCGTAGTAAAATAAGGCCTATTCGCAAGGTTTTTGAAAAAATTTAATTATTTATGGTGAAAATTACCATTACTCCATTATATTTTATCGCTAATTTATTAATATAAAAAGTAATGATACATTTCAAAAATTAAATACAATATTTTCGATTTTTTTCAAAATCTCTCTTAGCTAGGCCTTATTACCGACTGGTACCTCATTTTGAATTATGTAGAAAAAAAATATTTGTTGATTAAAGTATGAGTATTCTTAATTAAAGAAAATTTTTTTGGGTTTATTTTTTCGACTTGAATTTTTTTTTTATTCTAAAGTTTAGGCTGATTTTTTTAAACTATTTACTTTTTTTTTTTTCATCACTGCAGGAAGAATTAAATATTTATTTAAATTACCTCCTAAGTAGTCGCCATTACCAGCATCACCGCATTTTTGCTGGCAAAAGTAAGCGAACATTATGTCTGATACATACTTTAATTTTCTGTTCATTTTTTTCAGGGCTATTTCGAAGGTTTTCAGGAAATACATCTCTTGATCATGCATTATCTTCCATACACCTTAAATAAATAAATTAATTAATAATAAAAAAAAGTTCGTTTTTGATAAATTCAATTTTTTGAATTAATTACAAAATTAATTACCGAGTCCAAAACCTACAACATGAAGAAATGCAGTAGTATTTTGTTTCTCAGCTCTCGTATTAGCTTCCAAAAGAATAATCTCCACAGACAATAGCGTCCTTTTCATATAATTCTCGACATCAAATATAGTTTGGTTGGTCAAAGAAATATAGCGTTTGTTTTCTTTGGATTTAGTTCGTCTTATTGCTTGTTCGTACAGTGGATGGTAGTCTTGGCCGTAGAATCGTGACCAGAGGGTGCGTAACTCTCTTATCTCGGGTACTCCATCCACAGAAGGGCCATAACTATTTTTAATTAAAAAAAAATTAATAATAAATAGACGGAAAAAAATTTTTATCTAAATCAAGAAAAAATTCTGAATTCCAGAATTTTTTTACTTAAATTAAAACTATAGAGTTCTTCATAATTATTTGCTTGACTCAAATTTAATTTTTTATTGTTTATTTCTGAAGAAATTTAAACTTATTAAATTATAATTAATTAATTAAACTATTACTAAATTTAAATTAATTAATTAAAATTTAATACACAGGATCTAAAGATTAATTCTTTATAAATAAATTAAAAAAAAAATTTTTTTACCCATTATCCATATTATTTTGCAAAGGAGAAATGACAATATCCTGTGACTCCATGAACCTGGAACGTTCAAACCTGGAGCCAATGACCCCCATGATGACTCCCCTGGGCTGAAATGCATCAGAGTCGTTGCAAATTACTCCCCGATTTTCGCGAGCCCCGTCATTTATAAACTCAGTGTGAGACGAGACCACCATCATGGCAGAAAGCTTGATTTCGTCGTAGGACAGACATTTCGAGAGGACCAACGGTTCCTTTTCTTGGTCAGTGCCGACGAACTCCCATCCTCCTTCTCCGGACTTTTTGTCTATCAGCTTCCATCGGTCGTCTGAGCCGTAAAACGCAACCGCGCGCTTGTCCAGCAGCCGCTGGATAAATTGTATCAGGCCCATATTTTTGTACATGGCTTTTTCTATGGGGCTTCCTTGCTCACGCTTAAACTTCAGCCATCCTGCTATCAAGGGGAGCATCGCTTCGTGGATTATTGGGTATGCTGAATTTGAGTTGAACTGGAAATAATTTTACTTATTTTATTAAAATTTTAGAATAATTTTTTTTTTATTTTTTTAATTTAATTGAAAATTTTTTATTTCAAATTTAATAAATCTTTATATTTAATGTTTAAAAAAAATCTACGAATTAAACTTTTAACTATAATTTTTCAACTATTTTTTTACGGAGATAATAAAAATAAAAAATTTAATTTTCTAATAAAAAATGTCTTATAATTCTGTTGTATTTTTAATATTTTTATCCAATATTTAAATATCAAGCTAAGAATTATTTCTACTGTGCTAACACAGTAAAAAAATAAATTTCCATCACTGTCTAAAAATATTTAATACTTTTAATTGGCGATTTTATACAATTTTTCATACATAATTTTTTTTTGGCAGAGAAAAAAAAAAGTTTTCTTAAACTAAGAAAATTTTTTGGAAACTTTGAGTTATCCTAAAGCAATAATAAATTTTTTTAACACACTAAACCTATTTTTAACTCAGTAAAATTTTATATCAGCCAAAATAGTTTATATTTTTTTGACATCAAATTATTTTTATTTATTATTGTCAAAAAAATTTATTATAAAATAAATAAGAATTTTTCAACAAAAAAAATTGATAATCACCTCAAGAATATCAGTTTTGATGCCTCTTTCTTTCAAGAACGAGCATCTGACTGTTTTAATGGGAAACTGAATCGGAAAAATTTCGCTCCTCTTGATAAGGGTCGTCAGCGTAACAGGGGGTGGTGTGCAGACATGCATACAATCTTTAACCAGCTGCTTGGTATCATCGTCAAAAGGAACCCCATTTGGCGAGCCCAGGGTGTTTTCCCAGGAAATTTCAGGCGGCTCCATGATAACTGGAATCTTCGGGTCGTCAATTCTCAGGTGTTTCTGAAATGCAGTTTATTGAAAAATAAAAGTGCTTTTTGTCATTGAACTTAAAAATAGAAGAGCGTGGATAATAGATACTATAATATACGGAGAAGGATTCTATAATCTATTAATAACTGTTTAATTACACCAAGGACGTTCGGGCCTTTGATAGTTGAGCATGAAATTGCCTAAAGACCGGAAAATGCAACCGCTCACCCACGAAAGCCTAACGTACTATTTATTTATTACTTTTTCATCTACTCTTATCATTTGTAACTATTAATTATTCATCATTTATTTCATTTATTCTTACATTTATTAATTTACTGGCAAAAATTGTCAATTATTTACCCGAAAAAAAATCAATTATTCAATTAAAACTTCTATTATAACAGAACACTTTTATTAAAACTGATAATTTATATTACACTTTATTTTATTGCAAATTAATAATTATAAACTCACCCGGCGAAAGCAACAAGCAAATATCGACATCTTAATAATCAATTGCAATAATGATGAATTTGTATTAATTTAAAATAATAATAAACTTTATAAATTTTATTTATAGACCGATTTTTAAAATTAATGACAAGAAATAATTGAGAAAATTGATGACTGACTAGTAAGCTTTCGAACCCCGCGGTTAATGTGACTAGTTATAACGAACCTTGAGGGTTTGCGTGTGCGCAGAAGAAAGTTTTAACTATTATTAATATGGAAGTTATCGACCTTCAATATTGTGTATTAATTATTATTTAAAGAAAATTAAAATATAAATTACAATTTAAATTTTCGTCAGATTTTTAATAAAAAAAAGCAAATTTTTTTTTTTAAATTTAGATTATTTTATTAGGATCATTTGCCGACTGTTGATCGAAAACCTGCTGATAGTAAGCTTGGAAGTATATCGAGAGTCGATCGTTATGTGATGTCGACTTTTCTTCTGTTGAAAACTTTCAATTTATCTTCAAATTTTTTAATTTTAATTATTTTGTAAATTAATATTTTTTTAAAGTTGATTTTATTAATTTTATGTGTTGTAAAAATATATTGCATGCGATAAAGCTATCAGAATTTCTTTTAGAAAATTGATAAATATTTTTTTCAATAAATTTTATAAAAAAGTTCGTCTGATTTTTTTTAGTGGAAATTTTTTTCGAGGTAAAAATTCTAAAAATCAATTTCACTTTTTTATTTTGTATCCTAGATTTTTAATTGCCAATTTTTAAAAACTTTTGCACATATTTTTTTAATCAATATATAAAATTGAAAAAACTTACTTGGAAAAATAAATAATAATTGCAATTTAAATAAAAAGAATAAAAATAACTTTTTGCTTGAAAGAGAAACGCGCAAATAAAATTATATTTTACACCTATTTATTCTGCAAATTAGTTCAACAAAGTGTTAATTTATAAACTGCGTATCTACACTTTTTGCACTCAGTAATTATGAGTCATCAGTATCAGCTATAAATATTTCTTCCTCTATTATTCTTATTATTATTATTATTATTATTATCATCACAGCTAAAACGTAACCAAAATTTTTCTTAAAATAAAAGAGAAGAATTTTTAATAAGTAATAAAAAATAAGAATTTTTACACTAGAATATTGATTTCTCATTTCAAAATTCGTGTATATAATTTCTTAAATTTTCTAATAAATTAAAAAATAATTTTTTGATTCTTTTAAATGAACAATATTAAAAAAAATTTTTTTTTTAATTTGTAATCAGATTTTTACAAAATTTTTTAGACTTTTGAAAATATTTTATATTAAATAAATCATTTGTTAAAAATTTTCAGCATCATAATTGCCTTTTTTAATTTTTATTTTTTCAAAAATATAGAAAGTTAAAAAACAGGAAAATATTTTTATATGTAAAAATTTAATGGCTAATTAAATTATAAATTATAAGTAATTTTAATGAAATATCTTAATAATTATTAAATTCATTTTTACACTGAAAATAATTTCTTGAACCAAGAAAATTATTTTAAAGAGTTTTATTGGTCTTAATAAAAGTAAAAAAATTTCAAATTTCAGAGTATTGATTAATATTATGTTTAATAACAAAAAATAATTATATTTAAATCTAAATAATTTTTTAATTAACGTGTAAATTAATTTATTAAATTCTATGATTAATTTAAAAAAATTAATTTATTAAAATTTAAAATCGCAATTTTTTAGATTTTTTTAGTAAATAAGTGTAACAATAAATAGCATTAATAAACGTAAACATCAACAAGTACACTCCTTAAACTAAAAGTCAAATGTTTTCTTAGCGTAAAAATATTTTCTCGAACATGAGAATGAGAAAATCAAAGTTAAGTAGGTAGGTCGTGTCTGACCGAGAGAATGGTATGCGCCCGATCTTCAGTCTTGATCCTATATCCTGTACTATCCCGATACCGATATACCCACAAGACGTGGATAAAAAGTACCTCTCTAAAATAACCAGTAACGTAAAAGCGGGGCCACCACCTAGCCAGCTATAAGCATTTCATTTCATTTCATTCCCGTTTAATATTCAAGGGACACATTACTTTGTACATGCCTCATGCCTCGAACCTCGAACTATGATTAACGGTACTCGCAATATAACAGAATCAGGTTCGCTGTTATGTGCCGGTGCTGAGGTAAGTACACAATGTATCCACACAAGTGCAAACACATCTTCATTACACGTATTCATGCATAAGCGAAGCTTATTTTTAAAAATAAGTTCATTTTGTCTGAAAAATTTATTTTAATTTTTATTAATTACAAAACAATTTTAATTTTTTAATACTTTATTTTTAGTAGCATAATTTTAATTTAATTTTTTAGTTAATATATTTATATGTTAAAATTTTGGATTCAAATTAATTTAATTTCAAGAAAAATATCTTTAACTAACAAAATAAAACTGAAAAAATTTTAAAACAAGAAAATTTATTTAAAATAATTTTCTAAGGACAAGATTTTTTTTTTTTTTAATAATAAATTTAATTTATTTTCACTCTAATAAAATTTCTTCAAAATTACAAAGCTATATACTAATAATTAAATTTGAAAACTTCGACCTGGAAGTAAAAAACATAAGGTATGATATCAAGAATAATTGACTTTTCAAACGAAAATCTGGTTGCAAAAAACCGGCTTTTGGCGTCGAGAAAGTTGTTAGAAAATGTAAAAACGCATATCATTAAAATAATTGCCCTTGTGTTTAATTTAATCAAAAGTAAAAGTGTAAGACATCTTAATTTATTACATTACTCTAATTTAAATAACTACTCAGAAATTTGCATAGAAATTCATGAATAAATAAAATAGTCAATAAACTATAAACTAATTAAATAGAATACATCAAATATCATTAATCTCAAATGCAAACTAGTTATTAATCAGCGTTCGCTCATTCATAGCTGGCAAATAAAATAACTTACGGATTAGTCATTATCATTAACAATACAATGAAGCAAAATCGCTTGATATTAATAATAAAAGTGAAGGGAATCTTAGTATATATAGTCTTAGACGCAAGGTTCTTCGTCGGCATACCAAGTCAATCATAATTCTTCGATTCAACATAATAATAACAATAAAATAATAATAATCATTTGAAATAAATTATTATCATTATTTTTTTTTTTTTTATTATTTTTATTTTTAAAATTTATTTTTTCTAAATACTTGTTTTTATAATACTTTTTATTTTTAGTTTATTGGCTGTCCAGTCTAATACAATAAATTTTTGCAGTCAAATTTATCTTTAATGACAAATTTAAATATGAATTGAGGATAAATTGTTTATGCCTGGAGGGTAATACAGGCTAATAATAATATGAAAAATTAGGGAAAAATTAAAAAAAAAAAATTGTTGTATTAGATTAGACAGCCAATAAACTAAAAATATAAATTATTATTATTGTAATTATTATAAATGATGTTAAAGATCAAATAACAATTCCTAGCTTTAAAAGACACTTAGTTCATTACATTAAAAACAATATCGATATTTTATGATTTATAATGACAAAAAGTGATGTACAGAATTATAAGATAGAATTAACATGGTTGTATTAATTGTATATTTTTTTGTAAATTGTTAATTGATTTAAAAAAATTTTATGAATATTAAACATGAGACAAATTAAAATGTATATATATATATATATATATAGCCAAGGGCTAAATATTATTATTATTATTATTATTTTCAAAAAATTAAAACTAATAATAATAATAATAATTTTACAATATTTTTATTTCTAAAGACTAGTTTGTATTTTTTTTTTTAAATAAGAATGAAATAATTGTGTACCTGGAAGGAATACAGGCTAAAAATTATAAATAATTTAGAGAAAAATTGTGCACTAGATAGCCAATAACAATTGTAAATATAATCAATTTACAATTGTAAAAAAATATATATAAAAAATAAAAAAGTAATAATAATGAATTAAAACCTGTACAATGTTGTATGATATGAGGAAGCTTGTGCAGCATTCAGTATTATATACAGTGTGCAGTAAAATAAAAACACAAACAGAGACTTTGAGTAGGAGTTGAGTCAGTAGGCCTAAAGTCTTCCGGTAACTAGCAGGTAAAGCGGGGTTCAGGACTAGTGAACACGTACCTGAGGTGGTCTCACGGCGAAACTCCTTTCAATACCTGTGTACCGTTTCAGTTTTCAGTCTTCGTCAAGGTGTGGTTCCCGATGTTTGCCACTATTCTCATATTTATTTAATAAAGAATGTTTAATTCAGGTGCACGTGTCGGGTTTCCGCGCTTTTCCCGTCGCAATCTCTAAAAATCATCATTTTTTTTCATTTCTTCCCGAGAGTCATTGGTGTTATATATACATTGTATCGAAGAAGAAGTTCTTACCTCAAGAAAATCGCGTCTTATCGGAGACTTCAACGTGGTAGCTGTTTTATCGGCGGGCTAAAGTTAAATATTCAAAATAATTTTGAATTTTGTTATCAGTGAAAACAATTATTCTAACGATTTCAAAAAAAATGATGATAATGAACACGCTTACGTCAAGATAAAATATAATGCTGACTTTTGTCATAATGTTTTATCGTTAAAGTATTTATTTTTGTACTTGAGTTTTTTTTAAGTAAGTTGAGTGCAAGTGACTAATGATTACCGCAGTTCACTGTCAGAACCCGATAAGTTGAGTGACTGGCCAAATAAATCCTCTGTTTGTTTTGTGGATTGAAATTTTTAAAATAAATTCCTTCAAGATGAATTCCTGTAAGTTTGCTAGAGTTTTATATTAATTTTAATTTTACTTTTAAGTTTGAAAAGTCATTTTATGCGGGCACGGAATATTGTTTTAGTTTTTGATCAATAATATTTTTTTTTTTTTTTTAAATAAAAAGGGAGATTGATAATTAATGTTGATTACGATGATTACACAAGTGAGGATCTGACAACTGGGAAAAAAGTTCAATGTACTGTTTCGCGTGCATGCGCGTATATCCTCGTGGCATGTAGTATTCAGCGTGTAGTCGATATATATATAGTTTATATGTTTGTATATGTAATTAAAAAGAATTTTTTATGAGATTTGTGATTTTTAATTCGCTTAATTTTTATTATTTTTTTGGTGAAGTTTTAAATTTTTTACAAAGCTTAATAAATTTTGTTAAATTATTTTTATTTTTTTCAATAATAAAAATTTTTATAACTTAATTTTATTTTTGTGATTAACAAGTTTTTATTTTTATCTTTATGTAAAGATTTTTTTACAAAAAAATTTATTAATTCCGAAAAAAAAATTTCTTCAGTAAATATTTCTTCTTATAAAAATTTTAATTAACTTATCAATAATTCGATTTATTAATAAAAATTATCAGTTTTTAAATATCTTAATACTATTGTTTAAATATATAACACAAAAGATAAATACTTGATCATTAATTAATCTTTAATTTCGATAAGCTGTGAAAAAAAAATCTGAAATTTCAATCAAATTAATAAAATGAAGAAATTTGCACTCTATCCCAAAAAAAAATGATTAATTTTTATTTTACACTTAAAAAAAAATTATTGAGTCAAGATAGACATTTTTGATCCAAGAAATTAATTTTGAAGAGTTTCGTTATTTTTAATCAAAAAAAATTTAAGAATTTTTTCACTTAGATAAAAAAAAAAGTTCTTAAAAATTATTTCCTTGATTCAAATTAATTTTTTTTGTGTACAAATTAATAAAAAAAAAAAAACTATTAATTAAATACTCAAATATTTTACGATCTTATCAACAAAATATTAATTAAAAATTCCAAAGTTAATTTGCTGAATTGATTACGTAAAAGCCGTTTGATAAAGCTTGATAACTTTTTAATTGCGTAATTAATAAAATTACGTGATTATTTAGTAAACGATATTTATATTTATATATATTTACATTTATATTTTTGAGTTTGAAGGTAATGAGTTGAGGAAATTACAATTTTAAAAGAATTAGTCATCTCCGGCTTAGTGACAGAATTTCTCATTAAATCATGACATGAGTGCACAGTTGTCTATCTGCTGCGGTTGTATATTAACATGTGTAATATATTAATGTATGTAATTTGTAATTTTATGGAGAATTTTCATGTGTGATTATGATAATAATTACTATTATAATTATAATTATATTAGAAGCGTTTGATACGCTGGGAGATTTAAGATTTTTATTATGCTCGGGAGTAATCGTGGTATTATATTTAAGTATGGATATATCTATGTGTGGTCGCAGATGTTTGTCTATACGAGTATATAATAAACATATATATGTGTATATATGGTTGGCGAAAAAACCTTGTACTCGTTTTTTTTGCTAACAATGTGAATAAGTTGGTTGAAATGTCAAGTGGTTAATTTTTTTCATTTCAACAGTCATGAGGATAATTATTTTCTTTTTTTTTTTTTAGTAAAATTATTTGATCTGTACTGATGACCCGATTTTTTGCAAATATAGATTTTTATACATTGCATTTATTTTATTTTTAATTATCAAGAAGAATATTTGAAGTATATTATTTGTGAAATAATTAACTATTGATGAGTATAATAAAATAAAAGTAAAATATTAATTAAAAATATTTTTAATTTATTATTGAAGTATATAACAAATAAATGAATGGAGAAATAATTAATAATTTATATTGAAAAGTGAAATTATTATTATTATTAAATTTTTTGTTGTTATTATTATTATATTTTTTGTATATAATAATACACTTAGCTTCAACCGTGATAGAGTAATGAAATTTTCCATGTTATGAATACATTAAATAATAAAGTTAGAATAATTATGCCCGGAGCTAGACGAGAGTATAAATACCAAAAATATATACATATACATGTTTAATGTATGCGAATAGAATGAGAAGGGAATTCAAATTCAATAACTTAAAGATCTATGCTCAATATGAAAATATAGTTGAGGATAATCAGCGTCTTGTCGTTCTACCGTGAAAAATCACGTCTTCTCATCTGAAATAAATCGTTTGGAAAATAAAGTTAAACTTGCTCTCTCGATATTCTGCTAAATTTTTCAGTACTGTGTAATAGTTACTACATTTTATAATAATAAGTATAAGTATATTATACTGTCTGATGAGTCTTTTCTTATTGTATAAATTATTCATTACTTACTTTATAACTTTTATTTTTTTTTTAGATACAAATTAATTTTTTTAATCTTTGTTAAATTTTATTTTTTATTTAAATAAAAAAAAAAATAAATAATAATAATAATAATAATAAAATATTTTTTAATTTTTAATTTCATCAAATTTCCGCTAGGTGTCGCATAAGCGCAACACCAACTCGTACTTAGAAAGCTAAAGCTTAAGTATTTACTATCGAAGTGAAATAAAAATAAAAATTACATATTATTATAATTATTATTATAATATTTTTTAAGTTATAATTTTTTGTTTAATAATAATAAAAGATTTGAAAATATGAAATTTATTTTCTTAAAATCTCAAAATACTTTCTTCCTTTAACTTTATTACAATAAAATACACCAACGACACATTGCATGAATAGTAAATTGCAAGAAGATACAAGAAGTAAATTTGCAGAGTGTGTAAGAAAGAAAATGCGAAATAAACTAAAGTACAAGAAGCCTGGTGCTGCTTTCACTGGCAGCGTACGATGTCGCTGCCTGATTTCCTAACTCGCACATTCCTAAACTTTAGCGTCAACAATTAACTTACGTACTTTAGCTGCTAAAAGATTTCATTCACAAATTAAATAACTTTATTTTTACATTAAATTTGCACTCAATTATTATCCTGCGTTGCTGCTGAGCTCACAAAATTACATCAAAACTTATTCCATTATATGTTGTATTGTCTTAAAAATTCGATCATAATCCAGGTCAAAATAACTCTAACAAGGTCATACTTTTTAACTTGTATTGTACTTATATGAGTAGTATTCGTGGAACGTATGACAGAGATAGAAATTGTTCAAGAGAATTGTGTCACTTTTCAAGGCTTTGCACTTATAATTTATACTAAAATTTTAATCAAAAAAAAATTTAATATTTCATCGCGTAATTATTTGACTTTGAAATTTGTTACGATATATTTGATATTTAAATGTCGAAAATTACATATTTACGGTCCTTGTAATATTAATACGATAAGTGATTGATGTATTTTGTTTAGATATTAAATTTAATAACAGTATTTTCATTAGCAGTGGGTACATATATTTACGCTCTTGTGAAATGAATGAAATGATTAAAATATTGAGTAATTTTCTTGTGTAAATATTTTATTTAATTTATACGCTCGAGTTTTATTAATTTATTAATTCATTGATTTATTATTTTTTAAGTTGTTATGAAATATTTATTTAAAAATTTTTCAGTGCTATTGAAACTAATCTTGGTGTGTACGGCCACAAAAATCCTCGGCTTGCCAAACGGAGCGCCGGGGAAATCATGCTACGACCTAGCTCCGGTCCACCCAGGAATAAATGCCCAAGGATCATATCCTCCATACGAAATACGAGCTGTTGCGGGCCAGGGCAGGATACGGTTGACCCTTGGAAGTCCCCAAGGCTTAGCATTTCAAGGATTCATTATCAACGCCCGGGATGTTGAGACCGGCGAATTTGTCGGGGAGTTTGTTGATTTACCCAAAGACATTCAAGCCATTGAATGCACCCCCGGCATGAATGTAAGCTATTTTTTTTTATAAATTATTTAAATCTTCTAAATAGATTTAATTAATTACATTAAAATTAGCCGACGTTCAGCAATTTTAGATTTTTTTTATCAATTAAATTTTTACAAAATTGCACGTCTAATTTTGAAAATTTTCTACAAGTGAAATTTTTTCAATTAATTTTTTTTTTAAATAATTTTTTCAATAAAAAATTTCTAAAAATTTTTAGATTTCGGCTAATTTTATTGTCATATTTAATTAGACTTTAAAAAATTTTTGAAAAGATTTTAAGTAAATTATTGAAAAAAAAAAATTTCCGAAGCAAATTTTTTACTTTTTTTTCTTTTAAATAAAAATTTTTAAAAATAATTTTTTGTTTAAAAATTGCAAAACGTGTTTAGAAAAAAATTGCATAAATTTATTTTTTTTTAATCAGAAATTTTCGTATAAAAATTAATTTTAATGACAAAATTAATTAATGTTATTTAATTAAATTTATTATTTTTGAATTTTTATAAAAATTTAGTTTAAATTTTTTTTTTAGAAAAATATAATTAATATCCCGATTTTTTACTGTATATTATTATTATTATTAATATAATTATTTTCAGAATACACTTACTCACAAAAATAAAGTAGAAAAAAGAAATTTGGAGGTATTTTGGACTCCGCCGGAAAACTACGAAGGAACTGTAATCTTCAAGTATGAAATTTATAATTTAAAAAATTTAATTTATCAAATTTTGATGATAAAATCTCCAAAGTATCTTTATATTTACATTTATAATATAAATAATTTATTCTTCATCGCAGCTCAACTTTCCTCCAAGATTACGCAACTTACTGGGTGGGAGTAGAGTCACCAGCAATAACAGTTTTGCGCGATTCTATCCAAGTGATGACAACGGCTCCTCCGCCAACAACCGAAAGAACAAGCACACCACCGTATTATGAGCTTGATACTCAGCAATCGGTTGGTATAATTTACTCGTTTTGTTGTTTTGTTTATCATAAGCGTAAATCATAAGCTGACATCTGTTTGTCTTACCACGATCTCAGAAAGACGACTTTATTATTTTATGTCGTGACTAATGTTCAAGATATAGGTCGTTCGTGCCTATATGTTGGATAATTAGCGGTGCTTAGTCTTTGGAAAAAATTATAATTTTTTCAAAAATTTCCTTGATAATTTTCATTTTTCTTTTATTAATTATCAATTATTTTTTTTTTTTAATTTAAGGATGGTACTTTTTTTTGTCAATTAGCAAAAATTGCACACTTAAAAAAATTTTTAATTTTTTTATTTTATAAATTTTACTTTTTAAAATTTTTAAATTAAAAAAATTACAATAATAATCTTTATTAAAAAAAATTAAAAAAAAATTATTGCCCATAAAATGTGCTAATAAAAAATTAATATAATAATAATAAAATAAAATTTTTAACTAAGAAAATTATCAAATTTCATTTTTATTTGTTCAAGATTTTTTTTTCTGATCAAAAATAAATTTTTTCATGCATAATAATTTGATTAATTTTTTTAAAAATAAAATTTACTTTAATTCAAGTTAAGATTTTAATAAAAAAAATTTATGACACTGAAGTTAGCAGACGTCTAATAATTTTTGATTTTTTTTATTAATTAAATTACAGCTAAAAAAATATTTATAAAAAATTGCACGTATAGTTTTTCAAGTTTTTTACATATGACAATTTTTTTTTTAATTGTTTAATTGAAATTTTTTCAACAAAAAATTTCTAAAAATTTTTAAAATTCAAATAATAATAATTTTTAATTTTTAAGACTTATTCCCATAAATCACAAGAAAATTTAATCTCATAATTATTTATTCCCATAAAATAAATAAATTAGATATTATTTAAATAATAATAACACAAACGTATTGAAGAAAGTATAAAAGGATTTATAATGTCACGCCAAAAACAGTAAAAGCCTATTGTATTTTATATTACATTGTAAGTTATTGAATAACGCGAACTTTGAAAGGAATAATTTCGTCATTGAACCAAAGCGCAGCTTTCCTAAACAAAATGCGAGTTTAAAATCATAGATAAAAATAAAAATAAGTATAAATATAAAAACACTCAATGTCAGTTTGCCAAGGCCTCCTCCTTAAGCCTTAAACTGACAATCGCGCCCATTCAAGTGAATAATCGCGTGAGAAAATTTAAACCATCTGATTTCTTAGCTTATTTACTTTAATGTTTCGTGCTTCTCTCGTTATCCGGTAAATAAAAAAGTTTGAACAATAACCAGTAATGCCAGTGGTAATAACAATAACATCGTAGTAAATTGACTTACATCATTTATAAACTCCAGCATTGACATTAAAATTAATAGTCGAAACTTTTTTATTCGGCTGTTCACTTTTTCTATCCTGTCGTGCTCAGTTAATGTTGTTACTATTGCTATTATTACTATTTTTATTTTTTTGTGCTTTCACAGACTGAGTCAACAAAACGACATCCAATATACGAGGGATGTGGAACAACGAAAAATTGCTTCGGTAGTACGGACGAGTGTATTGCTACGGGAACATGCAACGCCGCGGTTACTGTTGAAGTCAAGGGAGAGACATATTCTTTTGAATTATTCGGCTTGGATTCCAAATTTGTTGCTGTTGGTTTGTCTGAAGACAATAAGATGGTAATATTATTTATATTATCCAAATAATCAGATCCCAGAAAATTATATTAGTAAAGGTTCAGATTAATACAGATCTATTATTTATTCTTGTGTTAATTTATTTTATCCAATTCAGCAACGTTTCGTTACGTATCGTAACTTCCTCAGGCTTCTTGAAATAAGTTAATTATTTAATACAACTGTCAATATAATAATAAATGTAGCATTACTTTTGGCTAGGTTAGCCATTCGGCTTATCTTATAAAAGCAATTATTTAACATGACATATATACTTATATAATTATTATTTGTATAGATAATAATTATTAATCACTTAATTAGTATGACTCAATTTCTTATTATAAAACAATATATAAAATATTCATAAATTAACCGAAATCAACATATGAGTCAAAGTGTCAGTCACCCATGCGTCTACAGTATTATATTGACAGTTGTGTTAAATAATTAACTTATTTCAAGAAGCCTGAGGAAGTTACGATACGTAACGAAACGTTCCTGAATAGATCTGTATTAACCTGAACCTTTACTAATATTATTTATATTATTTATGTGCATTGTATAAATTCTGACATTGCAGAATTTGTTTATTGCATTTTTGGAACCAACAACGTAGAAAAAAAATTTCAAAAATATTTATGCCCAGATAATTTGTTTTTTTTTTTTTCCCCAATAGTTAAGCTTTTTACTGAATATATCAAAGAAAAAATGGTATAGATATTGAATACTTGAATATTGGATGTGTTTTTTAAACTTTTAAATGTTTCTTTTTTTAAAAGTCCACTTTTTAACTTTAGAAACGCCATTTTCAAGTATAGTTCTTAAATTTTTTGATTTTTAATTCAATATTTTAGTTTGAAAAAATATAAATATTAAAAACTTTAAATTTAATTGTGTTTTATATACTTTCGAATCTTTGTTCATAAAAGTGCACTTTTTTTACCCTAATAAACGCCATTTTCAGGTATAGATCTTCATTTTTTAATTTTTTATTCAATATTGGCGTTTATTCTGACTAATAAATAAATAAATAATAATAATAAATAAATATTTTAGTTTAAAATAATATAAATATTAAAAACTTTAAATTTAATCGTGTTTTCTATACTTTCGAATCTTTGTTCATAAAAAGCGCGCTTTTTTAACCTAAGAAACACTATTTTCATGTATAGTTCTCAATTCGTTTATTTTTAACTCAATAATTGAGCATTTTATTCAATATTTCATTGTAAAAAAATTATCAATATCAAATACTTAAATATTCAACATGTTTTTCATACTTCCGAATGTTTTTTACTTAAAACGCATTATTTTTAATCTAAAAAACGCCATTTTCAGGTATAGTTCTTCATTTTCTTCAAAATTACTCCATTTTAATATCTTTAACTTAATTATTAAGCTCTTTATATGATATTTTATTATAAATATAATATCAATTAGTCATTAATAATTTTTTTTCATATTTTTGAGTCTTTTTTTACAACAAGCGCGCTTTTTTATTTTTTAACTTAAAAAGCGCATTTTTTAGAACATTAATTAAAATTGACAGAGAAAAAATTACACAAATTCAATTTAAAAGCGTCAAATTCAATCACAAAATTATTTTTATAATTAAAAGAATAATTTTCCAAATAAAATAAATTTTAAATTCTTTATTTTTTTTTATCGATTAAATTTTAAAAATAAATGAATAAAAATTAAAGGGAGAAGACAGCGTAGTGGAATGTGTCGATGAAAATGGACGAGTAGATATCCACATGTCATGGAACAAAGGAAAGTCAAATTCTCGAATTGCACCGATGTCAGGATTATCTCCTGTAAATAGATCAATCGTAAATGGGGCGCTTTACTGCAAGTTCACGAGAGAGAAAACAACTTTAGTGGAGGGACGTGAATTTGATTTGGTGAACGGAGCTTACTGTCTGCTCCTGGCATCAGGAAGTCAACTTAAACGTAAATACAATCAAACTAGTCCTATTATTGTTATATTGACTGCTTGTATTGTATTGTGTATACAAGTAGACAATTCAACTCAAATTAATTATTCTGAAGTAAGCTCATGAGCTAATCAGTCATCAATAATCATCACGTGTCCTTTGATTCCATTTCAGCTAATGGTGTAGGGTATCACAATCTCGTGTACCGCGCCTCGGACAAGCCAACAAAATTAGCCGATATACGTGAAATAGTTGCGTCCAGTGATTTACTTATACGCATACACGGAGCTTTGATGATCGCATCCTGGATCGGAACCGCTTCTATTGGGATGCTTATGGCCCGTTATTACAAACAGACATGGCTTAGGTCGCCCATGTGTGGCAAGGATCAATGGTTTGTTGTGAGTAATTTATCTTCGACGTTTATTACTTTTATTCGTCGTTTTTTTTTTTTTACCAGTAGTTTGAGAAATTGAAACTGGTGAATTTTGTTGCAAAAAAAAATTATAAATTTTATTTTTTATCAATTTTAATCCTAGTGATTAAAAAAATAATTTATTTATTTTTTATTCCAATATTTTTGGAAAACAATTAGTATTTTAAATATTAATCCGGAAAATTTTTATTAGAAAAAAATTATAAGTTTTTTAACTTTGTTGGATGAAAAAAATTTTTTAGATTTTTATTCTAGTCAATTTTAAATTGAAAATTAATCTGGAAAATTTTGTTTAATGAAAAAAAATTTTAAAAAATTAGTAATTTAATTTTTAATGACTAAAAATTTTATTTTTTATCAATTTTAATCCTAACTAGTGATTAAAAAATTAATTTTTAAATACTTATCCGGAAAATTTTTATTAGAAAAAAATTATAAATTTTAATAAATAGATTTTTTAATTTTGTTGGACTAAAAAAAATTTTTTTAGATTTTTATTCATTAATTTTAATTGAAAATTAATCTGGAAATTTTTTTTTAATAAAAAAAATTTTTAAAAATTAGTAATTTAATTTTTAATGATTAAAAATAATTTATTTGAATAATTTAAATATTAATCCAAAAAATTTAATTTATAAATTAAAAATTTCTTACTTTATAATTAATAAAAAAATTTTTCAAATAAATTATTATAAAAATAAAAATAAAAAAAAACTAAATTTTTATTTCAATTTAAATTACAATCAAAACGATAAAAAAGACCATTCATTTGAATAAAACTCTGTTATTTAATTATTGATTTTCTCGTTCCCCTGGAAAACTTTAAATACCCAGAATTCATTTAATTGTGTACATTGAACGAAAGGTTAACTTATCGAATCCAAAAATAAAAAAATAGTCTGTATAAATTTTGTTTGACTAAAAAAACGTCTCTAAAAAATTCAATGAAATAACGAGTAATTGAATTGATCTTTGCAGTGGCACAGATTCTTCATGGTATTAACCTGGTCAATGACAATAGCCGCCTGTGTAATAATATTCGTGGAGCTGGGCACCTGGAGTTCCGAGACAATCCACGCGTCTTTAGGGCTTGCTACCACGATATTAGCTTTCGTCCAACCATTTATGGCTGCTTTGAGGCCGCATCCAGGCACACCTAGACGACCGCTTTTTAACTGGAGCCATTGGTTTATCGGAAATGCCGCTCACATTTGTGCTAGTAAATATATATTGATTATTTATTAATGAATATTAGAACCACGTTTGTACACACATTGAAAATAATTGGTGTGGTGTGAAGAATCATAAACACCTAAGTGATGAAGTTATAAACGATATTTTAGTAAAAAAAATTTTTTTAATTTTAAAATTCAAATTTTGAGTTAAAAGTATGAAAGAAATGAAAAAATTATAATACTTTTTTTGTAGAAAATTTAATTTTATATAAAAAAAATCTTTATAAATTTTATCATATCTCTTATTCTTTATTCGAAATATTTATCAAAAGAATATATAAAAACCAAAAACAATTTTTCGCTACAAAAAAATTAAAATTTTGGATTAAATATTAGAAATTCAAAAAAAATTTTTAAAATACTTTTATGTAGAAAATTTAATTTTCTATAAAAAAAATCCTTATAAATTTTATCATATCTCTTACACAGAAAAAACAAGATAACACTGGATATCATCCCAGATTATATTAAGTGAAAAAAAATTTCAGGTAGTAGTTAGTATAATTGAGATATGATGCAGTATAATCTGAATTTTTTTTTACCACAGATATCACTGAGTATAATTTGGGATGATATCCAGTGCCATCTTGTTTTTTCCGTGTATATTTTATTCGAAATATTTTACAAAAGAATATATAAAAACCAAAACGACAATTTTTTGCTACAAAAAAAATTTTAAAAACTTAAAAATTAAAATTTTGGATTAAATATTAGAAATTCAAAAAATACTTTTTTTTGTAGAAAATTTTAATTTTTTATAAAAAAATGATTATAAATTTTATCGTATCTCTTATCCTTTATTCGACATATTTATCAAAAAAATATATCAAAATCACAAACTATATTTTACTAAAAAAAATTTTCAGTCTTAAAATTCAAATTTTTAATTAAATAGAGATATTAAAAAATTATAATAATTTTCGTAAAAAATTCAATTATCTATAAAAAAATATCTCTACAACTTTTTCCATATCTCTCATTTTTTAGCCAGAATATTAATTTGAACTTAAAAAAAATCTATCCTTCCATTAACTAATTACTTAATTAATTTTTTACAGTAATTGCACTATTTTTTGCGGTAAGATTAAACAAAGCCAAGCTGCCAGATTGGGTGGACTGGATCCTGACGGCATACGTCGTTTTCCACGTCCTTACGCACATAGTTCTCTCGGTAAGAATTATTTAAATCATAGCTCTTAATATTGTCAGTATAAAATTACATTTACAATTAATCATTCGTTGTTCTGTTAAATAACGCGGTGACAGTCATCCAGCGTTGTTAAGGCACGCGTGAAAATGGCGTCCAAATATTGAGCGTACAGAGAGATTAAATATCACTTATTGCTGCGTGCCTTTACACAGTAAATTACTTTCATTCCAGTTAATACTCAATACCAAATACCAGATAAAACACTTGATACTCTTTAAATTATACAATTAAATAAATTATGAATAATTAATTCCATTTTGTAATTATAAAAGTAGTAGTTTTGATCAATAAGTAGACTAGGTATCATGTCATTATGTCATGTAAATAATTAACGGCGGGTTTTTTGAGGACAATCGATAAATTTGTTCTTCATTCTTTAGTTTGCCGGCTGCGCCTCAGACAGACAAGATAATCAAAGCATTAATGCTTTCCCGATGAAGGACATGCACGTTAGAGGCTCTATAGGTCACGCTGATCTCAAGAGAGATGCTCCTGTAAGTTTTTTTTTTTTTTATTATTATTTTTCACCTTTTCAGATATTATAATCTGAGAAAAAATTTAATTTGAGTCAAGAGAAAAAATATTAATCCAAAAAAATTATTTAAAGAAATTTTGTGAAAATGAAGTTTTCAAAAAATTTCAATTAAACAATTAAAAAAAAAAATTTCACATGTAAAAAATTTGAAAAACTATAAGTGCAATTTTTAGAAATATTTTTTAGTTGTAATTTAATTAATAAAAAAATACAAAATTTTTAAGTCGTCTGCTAACTTCAGTGTCATGATTTTTTACTCAAATAGAGAAGATCAATTTCTTCGAAATTATTTACTTTATTCAGGTTAATTTTTTTATTAATTTATACTGAGAAAAATTCTTAAACTAAGAAAATTATTAAAAAAACTTTTATTGTCTTGAATCAAGACCAAAAATTATTTAATAAATAAAGTTCTTCAAAATTATTTACTTGATTTAAATTAATTTTCTTTTCTGTGTATTACAAGGTGAAAATTAATTGAGCAGATATTTGAGAATTTTTAAGATTTCTTTTTATTAAAAAAGAAAAGACTTGTAGAAAATTTTAAAAAATATTTTCTAGTTATCATTAATAATAAAAAATTTTTCAATTTACTTTTTCCAATATCATTGTTATAAATATTAAGTTAGTTTCAATTTTGCTTTCATTTTAGTCGAGAAATTAACGACAGAGCATTGTGTGCTCGCGTTACTATACTTTGTACATTGTTTTTGTTACAAACTAGTACCGAGGACATTACATCACTTGCGTGTGAAGCCACGTGATCTGAACAATGACAGCTTTCGCCTGCTACCGTTTTTGCTCTCATTGTCTCAATATTTTTTATTCCGAAGCCATATTTTCACACTTTTATTAAAGAATTTTTTTACTTAACGCAAGATGATAAAATTATTTTTTTGGTTCAAGAATTTTTTTTTCTATACATTATTTTAAAATTATATTTTGAAATCACACCCAAGGTAGAGAAAAATTTTTTTTAAATTCATTTTTAATTTTTAATTATTTAATTTAAATAATTTATTGCCTTTTTTATGTCAGGTCTGTAAAATATTTAGAAAAAAATGTAAATTTATAATTATGAATGATTATCATACGTAATACATATTCAATGATTTATAATTTATTTTTTTTTACACAAAAAAGGAATTAATATTAAAAAATATTAGGAATTAATATTATCAATATTAAAAAATTTTATACCTCTCTTTTTATTTTCAATTAATAAAAAATTTCATATTGCACCCATTAATTACTGCATTAATTAATTAAAAGATAAAAGGAACGAAATTATTTGATTTCATAAATGTGTTTGCACATTGAGGATCGCAATATTACAATTAATTAATTAAAATTTTTAATTATATGCAATGTAATTTTAAAAATACTTTTGATCAATAATTAATTCAAATTTTTAATTTTAAAAATTAAAAAAGTAATTTGTAGTTTAAAAAAATTTTTTTAATTTATTTGTGATAAGAATCTTTTTTTTTCTCAGATAAAAAAAAGGTCCATCCTCAAATTAAGCCTTTAAATCTTTAAATTACCAATTTACCTCTTTCGCTTTAATTATTATTCATCCCTTACTGAACAAATAAATAAATGACTATTACCAGAAATAATAATAACAATAATTATTTATTGCAGCTGAGTGGATTAAGAAAATTAGCATTCGGTGTTTACTTTGTAATAATAGCAGCATTTGCAGCAGCATTGATAGTAATCACAGTAATGGCACCGATTGGAGAATCATGGGACAAATTCGCTCGTTTAATATCCAACGCATCAAGCTCCCAACCCACTCAATAAACATCACAAGATTTCAAACAAAAATGATTACTATATATAATACAAATTTAACTAAAATTTATCATATATTAATTATTACATCAATTACATAACATTAGAATACAATTATATAAATTAATACACTAAAAAATAATTTTTGAGAAAAAACATTTTTACAAAAATTAAAATTTTTGAAAATTTTCAACTTTTTTTTACATTTTTTTTTTTAATAATTTTTTTTTTTCATACAGAAAAAAAATAATTATTTCATAAAAGACCAATTTTTTATCATTCAAAAAAAATTTTTTTTTTAATCTATTTAACTAGTATGATTAAATAAAAAAAAAAATTTTTTTTCTTGTTAAAAAAAAGTTGAAATTTTTAATAAAATAATTTTTGATTTTTTTGAAAATTTTCAAAAAAAAAAAAATATAAAATTTCCAAAAATTAAAATTCTTGTGACAAAAATGCTCTTTTTTCTCATACAGTAAAAAATTTTTCGTCATTAGGTCAAAAAATTGTGTTAAAAATTTTTGTATGAAATATTTAACACTTTTATGTGTAAATTTAACATTTATTCTGTTAAATAAATACAAAAAAGTGTTAAATATTTAAGATAAACATTTTTAACACAAAATTTTTTAACGCAAAATTTTTGACTGTGCAATAGAAATATATTCTCTTAGTGTATTATGATTATTAATACCATTTGGATAATTTTGAAGGCTGTAAATTAGGGAGCTCTGGCTCTCGGATAACAGGAGGTACCCTATCGAGTTGCATTCGCAACTAGCGTGAAACATGTGATTATCGGAGCTTTGGCTGGCGAACGCCCAAGAATAACGTCCCTTCCGTCTCTTCGTAGAACACAGACCCTCGATCCTCCACCCTCCACTTGTCTTTGTCTACCGGTAGTATCGAGACTACACTATCACCGCACACTGGTACTGTTACTCTTGCTATTAACTATTACTATTACTATAACTATAGTTTAGCTAGACTCCCTGCTCTACACTATGCAACTGCTAATCGAAATTACCCTTCTAGTCGCTTGACTACGCGAGTACAACACCATTGTGCCTGGAATGTTATGTATACATTCAGCAATATTACAATATTTATTGGTATAACTAAACCGAAAATCAACAAAGAATTGTCGCTAATAACTCTCTTGTTATCGCCGTTCTCTTCTCTTGTATACTATTTTATTTATTGTGCTATATTCATGCATGTTATTTTTATTATTATTATTATTATTATTATTATTATTATTATTATTGTGTTATTTGTTAATGTTATCAAGCGCATTATGTTTCATTAGTAAATTTGTATTATTGGAAATAATGATAATTATTTTGAGAAACTTAAAAAAATATATTTATAGATAAAATTTTATTTTTTCTAAGATTTGTTAAATTTTTACAGTATTAAACATACTTAATTAGTTGATTAATTTAATTTATTACTCGAGGCATACACTGAATTGTAATTAAATTATGAAAATTTTTTGTGGAAAAATTTTATGTGTAAATTATTGTTATTAATGTTAGTAAGTAATAGCGTTTGCTTGGTTTAATTTAATTGGCAAAAAAATATTTAATTAAACGAGTAAACGGATGCGTTCAAGCATAATAAAATTAATTATAAGTCGTTATTATTAAACTTGTAAGATTAATAATGTACATCGTATTTTTTTTTCTTTTTTTTTCTAATGGAAAATAATTTGTATAATTAGAAAATTTTGTAAAAAACCGCATTTATAAGTGTTTTGATATTAATGTATATTGTAACTGTTAATAAAAAAAAATTAACAAGTAAAATGTAACAGTTACATGTTTTAGCATATAATATTGTTTATTTACAATTCCTGTCCTAATGGACTCTATTTATAATAGAATTTACATTATATTTATTTATGGTAATCGGAAAAAATTTTAAAGTTATGAAAAATTCTTATTATTTCACTAAAATTATTGTAAAATAAAAATTATAATAATAATAACAATAATAATTTACTAAATCTGAAATAATATACATTTTTTATAAGTTTAAATTTTTTTTTTCATTATACTAAAATGTTTCTGCTTTATTATCTAACTACACTATTTAAGGTAGTACCTCAGCGACAATCCAGATAAAAAATTTTGGCTCACTATCCATGTGTTCGAAATATCATATCGACGTTCTAATTAGCAAATTGTCTAACTCCATTTTAGAGAATCTTCTATTTGTACGAAAAAAACAATTAGTTCAAAATTTATTATCACTTTAAAAAACCATTTTATTTAATTATTATCTAATAAAGATATAATATTCAGGTTTGAATCATTCAAATAATTTATAATTCGATTATGGCTACATCAAAATGTTAAAAAATCACTATCTAAAAAATATGGAGTTAAATTGCTAATTAGACCGTCGATATTCATCAATCTACTAGTTTTTCGATAAAGTCGTGAAATTACTTCGATGGACAAAATTTAAAATACTGTCATTTTCCCAGGCTTCTTCTATGACAAAAATATCATTTTCAATTGCAATTATCTCAAGTTAGGTACGGTAAAACGTCTTCAAATTTTAACAGCATATGTATTATATATTTAATGACTTATATTCAAAGTTTCGAGGATTTCTTATTGCCATTCGGCTAAATGGCATATAAATTTAGTAAATAAATAAAAACATATGAAATTTTAATAATTTGTTTTTTTTTTTTTTTTTTTTTTTTTTAAAAAAAAAAAAAAAATGGGATGATCGAATGTGGCGCCGCCAACTCTCTGATTTCACGAGCTACCCCCGTCGCTACACACAGTGGATATATGTAGTAGTAGTGTGTAGAGCTTACCCGACGGGCTGGTGCTGTGGTAGTAGTACAGCTCAGCGTACGCGTCGCATAACAAACGCCTTTGCGTCTCTTCGATCGGTAGCCATCTTTTTTTATGCGCACATTCACCAAACCGACGGCAAAATATCTCTCAATGGTCAGACGGGACATAAGAGTTTACTTTGTTGAGAAGTTGCTTTTTTAACCCTCAGTTCCTTGATCTTTAATTTTTTTATTTTTTTATAATAATAATTGTAAGAAAAACATTTTTAATTAGCAATTTTAGAAAATTTCTGGTTTTTTAAGGATTAATATGTCCTTATGTGACTTGATAAGCTCATATATAATTTTTTATCAACGATAGTGTTTAAAATATCCAACAGATGGCGTATAGTCGCTGA